CATTTGCAGTCTATGCCACAGTGTGCCCCAGGAGTCAGCACTGTGTTCCCCACACCAGGCCCTGGCTGGCTACCCCTTGTCTCCAGGGGCTGGGGATTAACTAGCGTCTGGGACAGAGGACAAAGAGCAAACTTCCAGCCTGGGTGCAGTACTGAGGGCCAGGGTCTGGCCAAACCTGCCATAGTGCTAGACCCCTGCTCCTGCAGGATCCTGGAATGTGCAGGGGGGAAACCCAGTGAATACAGGGGAAAGCACCACAAGAGTGGGATGCTCAGGAATGATGTGAGATTATGTCTTCTAGGGAAGCTTCAGGTGCTGCAGGTTGTCCGGGCCAAGCTGTGCTGTCCCCATGTTATCTGACTGGGTGCATGAAAGCTGATGGTGTTAGATGTTGTAGATTAAACAGCAAATGCTAAATTTCTGTTTAGTTATTGTGTGATACTGAAATAGTTTTGTAGCTTGTCTCCATCTTCCAGGAGAAAAAAAACAGGCTCCTTTTTTTTTTTTTTTGCTCCTTGGGTGGAACAAAGCAAGCAGTATAAAAGCAACACTGAGCATTGAAATCCCACAATACACATTCTTCCGCAGTGCCATTTTGGAGGAATATGAAACATTGTGAAATTAAACCTGATTGAAGGATAAGGTTTCCACTGCCAGGTACACCTGAGCACTGAGGTATGCAGGGTGGGGCTCTGGCATCTCTGCGTGTAGAGGTTGCTGAGATCTGTGAAGTAACCTCTGGATGCAGTAAAACAATCTCTGGAGACACAGTGTTTCAGGAAGGCAGATTCTCAGTGCTTGTATCTTTCCTGTGCTGGCTGCAGGATGAAGGCTGTTGAGAACCCAGGATGTTTTTTCTTAGAACCTTTGGAGAAGTAAGAATTGTGGATAAGTAATTTTACAAAGAACAGAGAAAGCCAAGCACCCCCTACCTTCACCAGGACAAGGAGATCTGACTGGCAAAGGCACCGGAAAGTTTAGATGCAGCAGAACTTTACGCTTCAGTTTGGTTTAGGCTTTGCTTCCAGGGAAGAAATAAAGTATAAAAACACAACCACCACCAAACTCACAGATGGTTATACAGTCATCCTAAGTGGTCGTGAAATGTTTGCACTAGTGAAGTGGAGTTGCCAGGAGGGAAGACAGTGCTATTCTTTTCAAGTCTGTGTATCACATGCAGATTACTCTATTGCCTTAAGTAAAAATGGCAAAAAACAGCAGCAGTCCTGCACATGTCTACAGCTAAGCTGTGCACCAAAAAAAAAAAAAAAAGAAAAAAAAAGGACAAAATCTGTGCCTTGCTTCAACTCCAGGATTGGGCTGAAGTTGTGATATGTTAACTTAAAATACTACAAAGTCACATGTGCACTCACAACTCTACTGCTAAGGAGCAAATGTTTAGGGCTTGGCTGATTCCTGGTGTGGAAGTACACGCAGCTCCGGAAGGATCTGTGCTAGTTCTAAAGGGCAGGTTGTCAGTACACAAGCTTTGCTGTGCTTTTCTGGATGCCAGACAAATGGCCATTCTCCACATGCAGTTGGCACTTGTTTGTCTGGGTTTGTCTTACAGCGTGACCTCAGTTTATCACTGCAGTGAGCACACAGGAGTTTCTGCCCTTATTTGCCCTGTCCCTCTCCGTGAACTGCAAAGCTTCAGTAGCTATTGCGCAGCCAGGCCCAGAGTTGGCCTAAGGAAGACATCAGAGGACAGTTACTATCAACTGCTGTCCAGAGAACAAGAAACTCCTTCTGGTAGGAGTGGTTAGTTATCTAGCAGCCTTGGTCCACTTAGTATTCACCTACTTCTCTATTCATCACTTTTAGAAACTTCCTGAGACTCACGTGCAACCCATCCTTTGGATGCCTCAGCAGGAGTATTGTTGCACCTCCAAATAGATCCACAGCACTCAGTGCTAAGTAGCCCACTTACCTAAGTGTAAAAGTGGAGTCTAATCTGCTATCTTCCAAGGTAGGGGCAGGGGTTCAAGATATCCCTGTATATGGCATTACACCTCTGTACACATGCTGCTTGATGCTGCTGTATAGCCTTGTCCATGAAACAAAGTCAGACATGCTTGAAACTGTTAAAAAAGATTACTAGTCCAAAGACAAATTTTATCAGTATTTTGTACTTGAAATACCTTAAGCATAGAGAGCATTGTTGAGTTATTTAAGTCAGTTTTGGCTCCTATCCAGTACCTTAAAAAAAAAACCCCATAGCTAAAGTGCAGCATGACAGGATAGTCTTTGGCAAGGGACATCAGGCAGTTAATTTAACTGTCACGTTGGCATCTTGTAACAGTACAGTTTTAGAGCCTGGCTCATCACAAGCGACTAGACACCACTCAGAACAAAGGCCATTTCAGGACTTTCTTGAAGAACACACTGAGCCCATAGGTCTAACAAAAGTCAGCAAGTGTTGGAACGAGGTTAACAAAATGGCCTGAAATCCTTTTTATTTTTCTTGGCAAACCCAAAGGATCTGTTAATGGAAATACCATTCTGTAAAATGTTTTCAGACTTGAAAGACACTTTTAAGAGACAGTCTTGTATGACATAGTCTTTTCACAAAGGAACCAGAATGGGGATGAATAGAATGAACTTTACCATTTGGGAAATTAAGACATCTGACTGAGCAGTATGGCAGGATACTGCACCAGAGATGCCAGTGTCGAAAGTGAGAAGGAAAACTTTAGTATAGACCTGTGAATGCGTGTAGCATTTATTAGAGCAAATAGCCTTTCCTTTCATGAGTATTCAGTGACTAAGCATGGACTTTTACCTCAGCTTTGTCTGTATTAACTGTGGCCTGGACTACCTAACACCTTTTGAAAGGGTGTTTTACTCTTCATCGTCTTTATCAATTCAAGAGGTTAGGGAACAGAACAAAATTATCAGATAATTAATATCAAGAACAAGGAAATATTTTTTCCTCGTCCTAAAAACAAGGTGCAGAACTTCTTGCTGTGAACTGTGGTAGCTACAAGTATATACCTGATTAATAAAAGAGATGAGACTAATTTAGATGAAACTAAACCCAACAGCAGCTATTAAAGACATAAGCTGCAGTTCTGTTGGTCTACTATAACAAATCCCCAAACCCAACAAACCATAACTGTCAGAACATAGGAATGTGTAAACCAAGGAAGGACTGCTGCCCACTGTCCTCTTTTTCTCAGCATCTACTGACAGCCACTGGCTGATACCGTGCAGTGCCCGATGCACTGTGGATCATCCAGGAGGCACATGAAGTGAACAGAGCTTTGCAGGGGGGGGAGGAGCCAGTTATGTGACAGAGAAAGCATTAAGCACAGACACACAAGCTGCGAGGTCCCTGCTATGATGCTTATTTATATTTGAATGCTTAACTATGTCAGCTTTTCTGGTTTTTGATATATATTTAGAATAAAATAAGGAAGTGTTCCACACAACTGCGCTTACTAGATAGTTAATAGAGGCTACAGTCCAAATTTTGCTAGACTTAATGGTTATTTCTCCCATTCATGCTTTCCTCCCAGTTCTGCCTTAAAATTCAGCTTGTCAATCAATTGCAAACATTTTTTAATAGTCTAGCTTATTTCCTGGCTTCCTTCCTTCAAATATTTTCATGCAACGAGCACAAAAAAAAAACTCCGTCCACACTGTACATAGAAATTTACAGGCTTGAAGCTCATAATTATTTTTTCCAACACCTCAGAAATCACTTTTACATCTTTTAGCCTATGTACATATAACAGGATTCGCTTCCCAAGAATCTTTACTCTTGTCACTTCTGTATGCAAAATACTTCACAGTAACCCAAGTAATAAAAAGCCCAATTCTGCTGTAGAAGTAAGATGTTAAAAGGAAACTTTGTTTTCTGCCCATCTCATTCTTATTTCCATCCCTTCCCACCCCCTTCTCCCCTCCCTTTTTGGTTGCTGTTTGCTCTACTTCAAGACTGAAACTCTAGCTGCTCTAAATCTAAACACTGCTTGGGACTGGCAACAAACAGCAAAATGACTTCCAGAGAGCACTTGTGAGCCATATCCTTCCTAGGCATTCACATGGACATTCAGCCAAGAGTAATTTCACCTTTGGGCTACAATCTACAGAATCGGGTAAAAACACTCAAAACAACTGGAGAGATTACTGCAGGTTGAAGAATACCATGTGTTTGGTCTGGAGAGCAGTATTGGCTCAACAGAGCTGACAGAAAATGAAAGTCTCTCTAGAGAACTGCATAGCACAAAGAACCAGAAGTACAACCATGACGCTTTTTTTTTTTTTTTGCCTCAAAATGCCTGGTCCTGGTCTGGGATTGTTAAGATGCTTGACACTTTTGATGTGCAGCTGTCAGAAGACTTGCAGTGACATTTATCTCTAAATGTACCGAGGGGTTTCTGGTATTCCCAGAGCTGAGACACAGCACACGCTGTTATTAATCTCAGAAAGGTCAAACATTTTCCTGATATTTTGGTTTACAAATGCGTAAATACACAATAAAATAAAAAGGCAACTGTGAGTTGTAGTCTGAACTCTTAGACTGTTTAGCTGTTCTCAAGAGAATTTTCTCATGAAAATCCAGAACATCTGAGGGAAGCTGAAGGGAATTATCATTTAATACCAACAGCCTGTCTAGAAGACATTTGCTCAAAACAGGCACTTTAAAACATCAAACCACAGAGTAAAGGTCATACAGCACTACAGAATGAGGCCTTCTGGTGCACAGTGTCAACCTCAGAGGGTACCTAAATCCTCCATGGGCATTTCAGCCAACCTGCAAAGCTGTACCTGTGCCATTTCAGCCAACCTAACCTACACAACACCCCTGTCATGTCAGCTCTGTGGAAAGCCAGTAGGGAGACATCAAAACAGCATGCACCGAGCAAGACCACCAGATTCAGCCTCCAAGTGCCAAGTGGGTTCTGGCTCAAGCAGTGCAGAAACGTGTTGCTGTCTTCTTCCCATGCAAGTCGGAGCAAACTTCCCAGAAAGGGACCAAACCATTTTTATTTTTCTTTTTAAACTAAATGCTTTTAATAGAAAACAAAATACAAAATAACTCTTTCCAGAAAGCAGAAATATTTAATCTCTCCAAATGACAAACTAGAACGTGCTTTTTCCGCAGATCCTTGTTGTAAATGCTGATGATTTATCTCACAAAGTGTTCATGAAACCGGTATTGCAACATTTGAGAAAAATCCAACACTGGCAAAGCTGCCTCTGTGTACACACAATAATTTAGTAATACTATTTTTTCCCATGTCACTTTGTGTGTCTCTCTTCATCCCCCTCTCCTCTAGACTGCCAACTTCCATTTATGGAAATATTTCTTTGAGGTGCAGTGGTGGACTGACATGCCCTGTTTCCATTAGGAGTCCAAACTTAGCTACTTAATTTCTATTGTGCCCTCCTTCCAGACAAGGCAAGTTGTTTATTAACCTTAAAGCCACCGCTCTGCCCCCACTGTCCTCCCATCCTCAAAACACAGTGCAACCAGAGTCAGAAAATTTCCTAATTAATGGAACATAAATACAAATATCACAGCTAGTATCAGGAACCAAACCCAAATGACAATGCAGAGATGGGCCCCAACTGAGGTCAGATTTCCATCCCCTTACAGAAAAAAAACAATGGTATTTTCTACTTACTTAGTCCAAAATATTCCAGAAGTGCTATAAGGAGCTGTAATATTTAGGACCACTATCACTGTAGAAAATACACCATGTTCTTTTAATAGAAAAGTCTTAAAAATGCTGGTCCTCTGCAATACCAGGAAAATAAAAGCAAAACAAAACAAAAAACACTGGGCCAGTAGTTCTCCACACACTCGAGCCTCACTTAACAGTAGGTAACGTGCCCATCAATCAATGCAGGATATTTAAGTGCAGGTCAGCAGCTTATCTGGTTGGCAGTTTCACTTGTCTGGACCAAGCTTTTGGTTTTTCCAAGCTACTGGATTTTCCCATTCCTACAAGTTCAAGATTAGAATGTATATGTATTTTCATCACTTCTCCTTTTTTCCTTATTCTGTTCAACAGCACAGGCCTTTTTGTGACATCTTAAAAGCATTTGCATTACTCTGAACATGCCTTTCAAGGGGCAAAGGAAGAAAAGTGTTTCACAGTCAGTAATCTCAGCTTGCAATGGACTCTGACATTCAATACACCCACCCACTTCCCTAAAAAAAAAAAAAAAAAGGAAAAATTAATGTTCCTGATTTTCTTGTGCAATTCCAGTCACTAGAAGAAGATTACAGGCCATAAACTGTACGCTCAGTACATTATTCATTTGTCCGGTATATACACCAACCAGTTCACTGGAAGACCCATCCGCAGGGGCGTTGCAGTAAGTGTTCCGAATGTCCCAGACCCGAACTGAATTGTCCATCGACGCTGAAGCAATTAAACTGCTGTCAGGGCTAAAAGTAAGGCTGGTTATGTTGTCCGTGTGCCCCCTCAGTTCTTTGTAAAGAGTTCCTGATGCCAAGTCCCACAGCTTTAGCCGCTGGTCCTCGCCCGCTGATGCCAGGTACTTACCGTTGGGAGAGAACGCAAGCGCCAGCACAGGGCCACGGTGCCCGGTGAAAAGACGCACTGAGTTGCCCTGCTGAGTGCTCCACAAGCGCACGGTTTTGTCCGTGGAGCCCGTCGCCAAGTAGTTGGAATTGGGGTGGAACTTGACGCAGTCCACGTCTGCCAAATGGCCTGCGTATATTCGCAGCGGGTACGTCCGATCAAACGACCAGAGCCTTGCGGTGCGATCGTGGGAACCACTGGCAAAGTACAGGCTGCAGGGGCTAATATCCAAATCCCAGACAGGATAGGCATGCCCTTGGTACAACACAGTGTTTGTAAAACTCCCGAGGTCCCAATATCTGATGGACATGTCCTCAGAACAAGATAAGAGTCCTGAACTGTCTGAAAGGAACCTTGTGCTATACACAGGTCCACAATGTCCTCTCAGGATCTTCATTTCTGTGCCTGTGCTGTCATCCTCTTCCTCCTGGTCATGAAGGAGAAAAAGAAACAAGAAAGGAAAGCATGTTTATCTGTTCAACAACTACAGGGACCAACATCGGGAAAACAGGTGGGTGTTAATACAGAAGGAGTTATTTTAGTCATGGCACACACAGTTTGTGCAACTCTGAGACACAAACATTGCTGGTGCATTTGCTGTATCTAAGTGAATGCTGGAAGAGATGCTGAGATAAGACTTTCTATAATGGCATTATCTTCATTTTGGGTAGTCTCATGCTCAGCCCAGAAGGCATCTTACCTGGGACTGTATGCAAATAAGGAAAAAATAAATATTTAATGACATTTTTCCTTTTGCTAAAAACATATGCATAGTCCCTATCCATGCTCTACTAAACATTTGGCAGACCTTGGCATCTACTCTTTTGGTGCTGTCATTATTGGAAGTAAATCTCACAGTAGAGGGAAATAATCACAGATGTCTAAACAAAAGGCAGGATATGGAAAGACAAAGCATAATTGACAATCTGTCTGCTGGACATTCTTTCTTAAACCCACATGTGAATAGAAACCCAGTAAGGGTTATTTCCCCCTGCAAGCTCCATCAGGATACTTTCACATCCTCACCATTCAAGAACACCCGTCAAGAATAGCAAATGTACACAGCTTATTTAGGTCAATGTATCTATTTTGGGGTAGGAAAAGATGAATTATCACAAAAATGATGGCACTGCAAACCTTTTTATCCTGTTATTCTCTAGTTCAAGTACCAGGGCAGATAACAAGTAAAGGCTTTTGAGTTTGAAAGACTGTTCAGTGAGCTGTGCTAAAAGAATCTCCACATGGAGGGTAAGAGCCTCTGAAAGCCTACTCAGATAGAACCTCTTGACACTTGAAGGCTACAGACTACAAATCTCAAGGGAGTGGCCTTCCCTGACAAGCTGGGGTCTCACTCACACTGCAAGATAACCATGGCTTGGGGTGTACCTGTGCAGTAGGTTGAGACCACCTTTCCTCAGAGCTGTCAGGCAGGCACTTTTCCTCAGTACTGAATCAGTAAAACCCACAGACAATCTCTGCACATCAAATTCAATACAACACCCTTTTGTTTGTGAGCAGCCCCTTTAACTTTTATCATAGTGAACTGGCCTGTTTCCTGCAGAAGGAGCACTTCCTGCCCTGAGAGGAAACTCAATTCCCCAGGGCTGCTGGACTGCAGTTGACCCGCAGAAGTCGGTGTGTTGTGAGCAGCTCTCTCGGCTGACACGCCAGCTCCCATCCCTCTGACCTCGGGACCCACAGATAGTTTTGCCTTCAGACTTCACGTCAAAAGTGAACAAACTCTGACTGAGCTACCTCCTTGCCTTTCTCCATCTCAATAGCATGTCATACAGTAGGCAGCAAGCAGCATTTAGCAATACTAATTCTCTTCAGAGCAGTCAGCGCCCATGGGAGTTTTCTGAGGTGGCTGGAAGCCAACTTCATCTCTGCCATGGAGGTGAGGCAGAGATAAACTGCAGGCTCTAGCATGCAAAGCCCCATTCATATTCATATTGCTTTTTCTACCTCAGATAGAGCATTGCTTGCTGGAATCTACTGCATCTCTAGGCTATTAAAGGAGAAAGTATAAAATGCTGCAGGTATCAGCCTATTTAATTATGACCATAAGATTCCTGACAAGTTACCAGTGGAAGACTATTGCCTATACTGCACTACAGTTTATGTAAGTTTTGCAAGTCCAGGTACTTAATTTTATGCATTCAAAGAAATAGAAGGCTACTCGGGCTGTCTGCAAGCACATACTCTTTCTCTCTTACTAGCATTTCCTCTTCTTTCCTTGTATTACAGTAGCAGCTGATTTGACAAGGCCTCCTGCAGCATTCAAACCACATTCCTATATGGTCACAGGTAGCAAATCTTATCTTCGACTTCTGTTTGACACCCACTTAGCACAACAACTGCACACCGCTCACTGAAAACAGTACACCTGTAGTGCTTCTGAGTCACTACATTTTTCCATTTCCTCCCTATCCAAGTTAATCTGCTGACCCTATTAAAAAAAGCAGCTGGAAGCGCAGCCACTAATTTACCGCCTTGCAAAACCAAGCTTCATTTCTTTGTCAGATCAATCACACTCTTCCTTGCATCCCGCAGCTACTACCACCATTGTGGTGTGCATCTGCAGCAGCTATAGAAAGATTGCAATCTGTGTTATAAATCAACAGGGAGGCAGGGAATCCCTCTTCATAATGTTTTTTTTCAGGATTTCAATTTCACACCTTGAATGTGTTTCCTGGATATAACACACAACTGGGCATACCCAGATCCCATCAGCTCCTTCTGAAGTGGTTGCTGCTGCGGGTTAGCATGAACTATTTGTATTTCCTTGGAATGGACAAGAAACTAAGTAAGTCTATGTTAATCAGTAACTTACATGCACACACTAACAGCTACGTTTTATTAGTTGAACTACCTATTTTGAAAAGAACTATCAAAACAGATTTTAAGTAACAGGATAGAACTGGAAAGCCTACCCACACTACTAAAGTGAGCTAAAAAAATTAACTCTTCAAACACTGAACAGGAAATCTTCCTGAGCAAGTTCAAGACTCCGAAAAATTATATTAATAAGAAACAGAAAAGAACAAAAATTTTGACATGTTTTGTTACACAGGACACCTTCTAAGTGATACACCTATGGACAGACTGCCCAAATCCTCAGCTGTTGCTTAAATCAGTAATGGATTTTGCATGACAGTCACTTGGACCCAGGAAAATTTATAGTTAATACATTTAACCATGTAAGCAGCAAACATTATCCAACTGACAAAAGTTATCTTGGTCTTCCACCCAGCATAAGCCTCAAAGGAATGAGTAGGCCTCAAAAAACAACTACATCCTCAGAGAAAAACAAAACAAAACCTCACACCACTCCCTTTTATTTTTTTTAAATAACTAGTAACAGGTTTCTCTGGGTGTCATCATCTTTCTCATCCCGCAGGGTTCTTAAGATTTCAAAAGGGAAGATTTCTTACCTGCCTACAGTAGAGATCACCTAGCAGGGAAAGATGGGGTAGGATGGTTCTCATTGCAGGACATTTCTTACTGCTCCTTCCAGAATTCCCTCCCATCTGCCACTGAACAAGGTGCCAGCATCATCCCCACTCATTACCACTTGAAAGACCACCGCCACTTAAAAGCAGAACTTTGAAAGCAGAGCTAAAAGGGGTCAAGTCTTAAATATTCACAGGATTTAAAGGATGCCACTCTTGTGGCTTGGAACTGAGCATTATTTTCTGTTTGTTGATTTATGTAGTACCAGCAATGAGCATGGCAAAACTGCAGAGACAGACAATACATCCATTTGGACAGCTGCAAAACTACATTTTTATACTGGACCTTAATTAAGAGACTAAAAAGAGGCATTTCTGAGATGCTACTATAAAAAAAACAGAATTATTGTATCCCAAAACAGTAAGCCTCTCCTATTTACAAGAGGAAAGACAACACTGCTGAAGTACACTGCAGCATCACACTGAGCAAAATTCACTAAAACTACGCCTAGAAGATGATTTTGACCTTAGTGACATGAAGGCTTTACATGGACTAGGAAAAAATCTTGATCTCTTAACACTTTTGCCAAGTCTCGACCTCATTTACATGTGTGTATACACACATAAAGAAAAAGTTAATAAACTAAACGTAATGGTACAGCTTTAGTGCCACCTTGAATGAGATCCACTGAAACTAGCATAATTTTAGACCTTCATAATTTTATTAACAGAAGGACCTATTTGTTTGCAGCAAATCAGAAACCAAGATGAAGACTAATTATTTCATGCATTACTATTTAAATACAGTATCCAAAGCTAATTACACAACACAGAAGTCAACCAAACCAAATTTTAACATCCTCACAAGTTGTTCTATAGAACTCACTGAAGTAATGTCAAAGCATATTCAGGATTTTTGTTCTTTGTCAAAAGTTTTCATCAGATTTATCTCTGTGAATTGCTGCTAATCAGACTGCAGTGACAGTCTGAAACACAGACCCTGCTCACACTGAGCTGCGTGACTGATAACTGCATCCCAGAGGAGATGATCTGCTTTGATCTTAGTATCTGTGGCTTCCACTCCCACGGCACCCAAGCAAGTGCTGGTGTGTCCCCACTTGCAATCCTGTGGATGCCTGTGTATTTTCATTTAGGGCTCCCAGATAATGGAATTTATTTCCTTTGTAGTCAAAGGGGTTTCATTTACATTTGGTAACCAGCAGTGTGTTCAGGCTGGTATCCTCCCGTAACTTTCAACTCACGCTCAGGTTTTGTTTAGTTAGTGGTGGAAGTTATTCAGGGCAACGATGACTTTGATCTGTGCTTGTCTTTGACCAGTTTTTGATTTTAGATCCGTGCACAAAAACTGCAGGATACACAAAATATCAAATAGCCAAAAACAGCCATTTGCACTCAAGCTTTCATGAGTGTTTCATAATACAAGTAAAATACGCAAGTATGTGCCTACGTGCCAAAAAAACCTAATACACACACTCCTGATAACTGGGCATTGTCTCACTTTTCTACAGTCCAGAGCCAAAGAAGGTGACCCCCTGATTTACCAGACAAATTCTCCTCTGTTGCAGGTTATTGACATTTGGCTTCCAAGATAGGCAATAGTCACATGTCCTATGAACTCTTGCAGGTTATAACGAAAACAGGTCCATAGTCCCATCTTGGTTTAGTGTGACCCACTTACCTGCTCACTCTGCAGAAAGGGTTAACCCGGGAAAGCAGCGAGCATGCTGCTGTGCGACTGTCTCACCTCAATGCCTGCCTCTTGTGCTCAGGCTGACTAACAAAGCAATCCCTGATCAGGGATCTCTGCATACACCAAGCTCTCTGCACTCTTCCAAAATAAACAGAACCCTGTCACTGAGTATTTTTAGGAGAAGGAAAAACAGTGGAAAAAAAGCTGTTTCTACTGCTAAATGCTCAACACGAGAACAAATGAAGCTTTTCCTTTTTTTGAGAAGGGGTGATTAAAAAACAGAAGAGTCATAAATTTTGATCTCTAACCAGATAGAAGGTGCTACTTAGGCAGCTGTGTCAAGAGGGGAGGAAGGGCGTAACTAGAAGGCAAAAAAAAAAAGTAAACTAGAAGATGCTATCTACCCTGGCAAGTGAAGGTGTACACATCCCTGACCTCGTCTCCAGCACTCCAGAGTAGAAAGCCTCTCAAGTTTCTACACTTTGGATTCCTTAACAGAGACATTCTGCTTATTTTTTCCATGATAACTCTTCACCTCTGGTTAAGGTGATGCCTCAAATTCAGTTTCACACTTAGCCATTGGACCAGACTCTTTTGGCTCTTTCCTTTTCCTGTGTCTCCACCCTTCTGCCTGGTTGTTCTGAGCTATTTTCCTTCTAGTTTTCATTCAGTGCTGTGCTTCTACTGTTCATATCTCCCTGAGTCATCTTCCCATCCCTAAGAAAGCTCTATGCTCCTCAGGAACGGGAGCCTTCTCCAGTCACCTGTCCTTACCTGGCTGCCTGTCTACTGTCACCTGTTCAAGGAGAGCTGAAGGAGGGAGATCAGCACCCACGACTAGCAAACTATGACCCATGCACAAACGCACTGCATGGGTCAGTGCAGCATTTACAACCACTCCAGGAAAAGATAAGGACAAGACTAGGCTATAAGATTTGTGCATCAGCCAGGCAGACAGGTTGTGGAACAGCCTCCCAGACATTACTAGATACTCCACAATGCACACCCAAAATAGCCCAGCAAAATTGGCTAAAGGGGGAAAAAGAAAAGGGCATCCAGACCTCCTCATCCAGGATGTCACAAGCCAGACGGATGCGGGACACATCAACAAGGTGGGGCTCAGATTTTAACTTCCTGGAACGCAGGCTCCACAGTTTCACACATGAATTATCGAACCCAGCAGCGAGCAGCTTGCTGTTTGGTGAAATCTCTGCTGTGTTCAGCAACTGCTCTGTGTTATAGAAGGCATAGAAGCAGATGGTCGTTAAGGAAGGGGGCCCGTCCTTGACACGTTTAATGCTGTCCTGCAGTAACTCCAGCGCTGCCTCATTCTGCAGAATGGAAGCCGGCACATCACTGGGTTCCAGGCCATTGCTCTCATTGCGTGAGGAGCTCCCGCCGGCATAGAGCTGGTAGTCAGTCCTCTTGGCAGGCTGCACATCCAGGTGAATGTGCAAGGTCAGGACTTTGCACAGGGCGTTGTTGTTGTCACTTTGGAGGTAGCGAAGAAGGTAGTTGTAGCTGTCCTCTTGAAGGCGGATGACATACTTGTTGTCCAGAAAAGCCCGGAGCTTCAAGTTGGACAGGATATCTTGAATAGTCATGGTAGTCTGCAGCTGTTCAATGATATCCTTCTGGCTGGCATTCTGCAAGAACATGCCATGGAAGCGGCTGTAAAAACTGTCCACTGTGCTTTTTAGGCCATTCTGGACCATGTTCAGATGGAGGTAGACGAAGAGGGGATATAGAAGAGGCATCACTTCATGGCTGTGCTGAGAATCTGAATCTATAAAAAACAGCAACAAACTTTGAATGATTTATCAATCCTCTTTCTACTGGGAATAAAACAGAGCAAAGATGGTTACTGAAAAAGCCTTGACAGTGGTATCACAGAGCAAGCAAAAGGAGACTTTTGTTGGCACATCTAAGTGAACCTTTTCTGTCACCTAAAGGTGGTACAGTACCTATTACAGACCTCAATAGAGATTGTCAAGTCAGTGAGGTTCCTTGTCAGAACAAAATGCAGAGATTTCACAACCCTTTTTAGGTGTAGGATACCTAAAAATATACCACATCACAAAATACATGACATTTGAATTTCCCCCATTTATTTAAGAAGAAAAACTATGCCCTTTGTTTATTGTAATAAAGGAACTTGAAAATTTATTCATTATATTTAAAATAGTATTTAAGTGTTTAAGTCGAAATTATTTACCTAGTTTGTATAGGCCTCAGCTTTGCTGGCTTTTCTTCCTCTTAGCTTCAATGAAACTTGCATGTGGCACTTTGGATAGAACTGATTGGTCCCCAGGGAAAAGGAAGCTACAGTTTCCAAAAGGTACTGCAATATGCTATGCTCTTGTTTTATTTCTGTGCCTGCCCATGTACACGCTTTCTCTCTCTCTCTTTCTCTCTGCCAAGGCAAATCCCAGCAGTAATTCCTAGTACACAGTGCAACAAACCCCCGATTAGGCTGTGCTGTACCTTGCAGAGACTGATCTGTGCAACAGCTCCACCCTTCCTTCACCAGCTTCTTGGGGCTGTTTGCCAGCTACAGGAAGCCATGAGGAAGTAGAGCCCTGCCGCAGAACACCACGGCAACATACAGGGCCACAACGAGTTATTACCAGAGGGCCAAATGGTCCAAATTACTGGAAAACAAACAGGCATTGCCGAGTCTCAAAATGGAAAAAGCACTGTTGCTTTTCAGCTTTTTCTTCCCTCCTGCCACTCACTAATGCATATCCTTTTTTTCCCCCCGTTTCCATTAGGTTATTTTTCCTCTGTGCTGAGCACTCTTCCAGACTTTCACTGGTCCACACTATGCCTCTCTCTCTCTCATTTCTACGAGTAAATATAGAGTAGGTCTGGCATGCTTGCATGCTTAAGCATCTTTCTCCTTCCTGTCCCACTGAAACTGGGACAAAGTCAGTGAAAACAGTGGTCTGCATGTAGTAAAACCTCTAAGCAGCCAGTGGTGGTCTTTTCTCCCTTAAAAACCCAGACCACCATATAAATAAGCTAATTATGGATAAAATTAAAACCCCTAAACTAGGAGACATCAGAGAACTACACTCATTTTTAAGTTACCTGCCTTTCACATATAACACTAATCTTCCTTCTTGTCTATTTATGTCTTATGTATGCTGTTGTCTAGAAGATTTAAAAGGCCAAATGCTTGAATAAGAAAAGGCAGACACCTACAAAATTCAAAGCTACTCAGCACACAGACAATAGCCAAAGTAAGAAAAAAAAATCAAATATTTCTATTTGTAGTAATCAAAATATCAAAACTACAAGTCAGAACACTGTTACAGACATGATTTTGAATTTTATTTTATTGTGCTTTACTCATTGAAATGACAAAAAAACAAACAAACAAAAAAACCCAGCTATTTTCCTCTTCCTTGCTTCCTGATATTTACCTGTGAGAAAATTGCGTAATCGTCCAAATTGTACTTCATATTGCTGTGGCTCCGCCAAGCAGGGAGCTGCAGACACAACATTGGCACAACCAGACTCAGATTGGACTGCGAAATAAAGTAAGTAAAAATTAAATGGGGATTTAAGGAGTTTTGCACACATGTCTGGAAACAAAGCTTCTCATAAAATTCAAGATATGCAGCCACTCAGATTACATTTCATCTTTGAAACCATCCAGGTATGACATAGTCCAAAGCATCTAAACGGGGCATTAACAACCTAGACAGATCATGAATGAGAAAGTATAATGAAAGCTAACCCCCACCTCCCCAAAGTCTCAGCAACTCACGTGCTCCACCCAGAATACCTTTTAAAGTTTTCAAATACAACCTTAAGTTCCCAAGAAATTCAGAATAACACCATCACAGATCCTTTAACAGTTTTACAACTCAGTGGTTTTACTACTTTGCACTCAAAAAAGATGAGGAAAGCAATCTACAATCTATGTTTCTCCAAAACAGTTTATCATTGGGTCCCACTAACTGTCCTGAACAGGTTTGCAGTGACACTACCTCAGATACTCAAATTCCTTGTCCCAGGCATTATAGTTTACAACAAATTATAATCACTATCATTTACTAAGTCTCATGGATATGGTGGTAAAAATACATTGAATCTCCAAGCAATCACTTAGTAGTTTTTAATCAAAACCTGCCCTCCTCCCTGAGGATTTTAGGTTAAAGGGTGGCTGGTTACTGACCACAAACCCAGTTGTTATGGTCTCCTGAGATGGTGCTAAACTGTTTTTCAGTATTGACTCTGGTAAAAGTGGTTCTGAACTATTTAGAAAGGGAATTGGCTTTTCCTTCTCTGGCAGCAAACCTTTGCCGTTCTGCTAACCGCCTGGAATCCAGTGGGGGACTTTGTGCAATTTTACAGACATGCACGAACATACCCCAAGCATATGGAAATACCAGTGATTAGAAACACAAGTTCTTCTCTTCTAGAGCACAAAAGGGTAAAGAGTTTCACTATTTTCCTTTCATATTTTTTTTTTCAATTCATAACTATTTTTCACTCCACAAACCCTATTTTTATTACTTTCACTTCCATTTCTTTCAGTTTCCTCTGGCCTGCACCTCTTTCCATCCTCTCTCTTTGTCTTTCTGAGTGATTGGTGGTTTTTTTATTCCAGCATTTGGCTCATGCACAGAGGCACAACTCTGACATCCCTGGAAGTCTATAAACAACATCATCAAATGTTCACAGGCTAAAGAAAGATAGGCCAGCCTCCAGCTCATCTCAATGCTTCTAATTAGAAAGAGATCAGCACACGGTATACACTGGCAGCCTGTTGCTATTCTCCTCTCTCTCTGGTAAGACACAGGTCTATCTTCCTTCAGCTTATGTAAATATAGGAGGTGTGTTTACCAACTCTCCAGGGCAAGCTGAGTTCAGCTTTTGAAACAGAGAGCTGGGCTGCCTTCATCATTCCCTCTTGGGAAAAAAACCCAAACAGATTCCAGCATCAATATCCTACTGTATCTTAAATCTGTTTGGAAATAAATAAATGTAACTTGCTGAAAGGTACAGCTACACAGAGCTTTCTACAACCTGGTAAGAATTCTAGGTTCACATATGGGTAGTACTTAACAGCTAAAGTAAAAAAGCTCTGCTATTTGGACTTATAATTGAATATAATCAATATTCAGCATGAAAAATATTTGAAAAATTGAATATAATCAATATTCAGCATGCACACGTAGTAACTCAAGAATGCTTAGTGTCAGTTTTCAATTTCACCCATACTACTCACTATGAAAGCAAAAAAAATAGAAATATGACAGCCTGTCTTTTATGCTGTGTCACAGCGTTACATACAAGGGTCAACTCCTCACAGAGTTCTGGTGGTCTCATTTCGGCAGGAATAGGAATGACTTGACACCTTGCTCACTCCATGAAAGCACAACTCATTGGCCTTGGCTTTATGAAGTGTTCCTTCCATGCCACAACTTTCTCTGCATAAGCAACTTAACTCCAAAACGAAGGTGCACTTCATGCTTCAGAAAGTGAAATATCATCTTTGGTTACGTATCCTGGAATAGTCTGACTGGGCAATCATTATGCCCTACTCTTTCAGCAACAATGCTAGACCTTGTTTCCATCCAGCAAAGGGTAAAGGAACCCTACAAGTTACATTCTAAGTCTTTGCCTTCCCAAAACTTTACACCAACCAGAACTGCAAAAAGGATCAAGATTCCAAAACAAGAGTAACATTTCAAGCGTATTTTCCTTCTGGTAGAAATAGAACGCTGCCTATATCCTTCTCATACATTAATAAACCTACCATAGCTGCTTTTTCATCTTTTCCAGTGGTCACAGGAACATCTATTGGAAACATCTGCTCCTTTACTTCATTTCCAGTAAGTGGAGCCAGCTATGTGACCTGATAGCAAACTGAAACTCCTAACTCAGGGATATGGACAGTACCATCCTGGTCTTGTGTGTTTGCTACCAGCACATTTGCTTTCAGCTAACAAATGTGTGGCTACTGTAAATGCAGTTTAACAGCAACTGATTCATCTTTTGAGTGAGTGTGATGTATAATTTAATATTATTTCAGATAGTCCTATGGGCAATATTAGAGGAACCTGTTCCCTTGGTCACTCATTCTGTCCTCAGATATTATTTTACTTTTCTACAGAAATACAGGATAGTCACAAGGAAGCTCTGTGCTGTAGATGTGACTGGGCAGGGTCCTAGATAATCTCTTCTGGGTTACCTCCCCCACAAAAAAGGTTGGGCCAGATGATCTTCTGAGGTTCCTTCCAACCTGGGCTGCTCTGTGATTCTGTGAAAACAGCTGTACAGATATAGCAAATAAACGAAGAACTGGAGAAGGGCTGAACTGAAGAGACTACGGAAGAAATGTGGAAGTAAAATTGAAAAACAAAGCTACTTCAAACCAAAAACTGAGGACACTTTACATTGTGAAAGAGAAATCGCAGAATTGAAAACTGAAGTAGCCAACTCTCCCGTTTACACAGGCTAGTTAATTTAAAAGTCAAACAAAACACCTGAACAAAAAAAGCAAGGTGAGTTTTGTTATGGAAAAAGCAAAAACATTTTCAGAAAAACATATTTGATCACTTTCCCTAAAATAAAGCAATGCAGGCTTTACAATCTGCTCAGTTTTATTTAGTTTGCAAAACTAAGATGACTGCAGCAAAAAGTATTCTCAGCCTCTGTTGTCAGAAAAGTAACAAGCTGGGGTTTGATTTTTCAACAGTCATTCATGGAACTGCAGTGTGCTCACTGACAGCTAACTATGACCATGTTTGACAAGAAGTAGTAAGCAGTTGAATGCAGGAGAGCAGACCATTTTCAGTTCTCTTGAAAACTGATGACTAAATTCTGAATCACCATCCACAAAACCCGTACCCTTGCCAAGAAGATATAGACTAATATGAAATCTAGTAATAACATTTGGTGGAAGATAGTAAAAAGACAAAACCCAATCACACACTCATTCACGCTCTTTATGGAAACCTTTTTCTGCATGATGCCACTGGTATGGTTGGTATCACATTCTAAGCCCATTTCAATACTGACCTTTCTACCCACTTCTCATATAAAATCTCCCATAAAAAAAAAAAAATCAGCATTTTACTTTGGTTTCATTCCTTCCCCATCTCCCCCAGTACTTTTTCATGGAGTTGCAACAAACTTCTGATAGTTACACTGAAAAAAGCGAGGAAATGAAAAGTATTTAGTAAGACCAAAGTAACTTCTAAATAAGGAAATACTACCAAGTTTCCTTCAGGCCTCTGAGAGAGTCAGCCTGAATATTTACCCACATACTCTAGAGGTGGGAAAAGCTATTTTGGCATCCAATTTTATATAGCCACAAGAACAGAGCTATACAGCAACTCATGTTTTGTCAAATCAAGTTGTATCACTACAAGTAACTAAGGTCACCACCACTCCGTTTAGCCTGGGATACTGTCACAATCTAAGCAGTTTCATTAACAGAAAACATTTTCACTCTAAGGTTATCCCAGTATTTTCTATTACTTTTACAAGTAAATTTAATTTCTATAACCTCCCCATTGCTTGCATCCTTCTGGTACTTGTACGTGCTCAAGCAGCAGAATTTCTTATAACAAAAATAATAACTACAATGCAGACTGTCACAGACACAATTTGAAAAGCAGGTAGTGTGGCAGGTTTTGAAAGCCTTCAAGGAAGAGGAGAAAGGGCATGCAGGGAAATAAACTGTCTCTCCACTAAAGGTTTTGGATTTTTTTACCCCAAGTGACAGAGGAGTGCTTTCACAACTTTTACAAAGCTGACTAGTCCAGAAAAAGACACAGCCTTATCTCTTCCATTTCACGTGATATAAGAAAGGTACACCAAACTTTCCTGCTTCTACAAATTCCTCATCTAGGTTCTTCTCACCTCCGTCCCAAAGCACCACTACTCACCAGACTTCATGTTCTTTGGGATACAACATACACTTCCACTACCCCAACCTGGTATTTCAGCCTGCTGTTTCACTGACTATGAATGTCACCTTGTTTCACTTTCATCCACATTTTCATTCTTCAAAAGTTCCTAGTGCACGCCAACCTCACACTGAGAAATTTCTTTATTTCAAAAGGAGAGCTGTCCATATGTGCAGACAAACTCACATAGCTGCCAGTATACATGCAACTCTGGAAAATACTCGTGGAAGATTTTGACAGAATTACCTGTGAGATTAGCTGCCATCTCTTCAGCAGTCTGACACAGCCTCAGCCCTTGTTTTAGGGGACCTTCTGAGTCCACATACTGACGGCGCTTGAGGTAGCAGGACACTGCCATCTGAATCTGTTCTGTGCGTACGCGTTTCATGACCTCAAAAGAAAACGGAGAGATGATGAGGCTCTTACTGTGTAAGCATAAGCTAAGATCAACTTACTCCACAGTTGTACTAATACTGACAGAAAACAAACAGCTCAGTATTTTCGTTGCTGAAGTCAAACAAATTCATTACTGAAGTATGAAATAGAACCTTCGGGCATTTGCCTCTCAGTACAAAGGCGTACCTAGAGACTTTTTATCAGATCCCTGAAGATATTTTGCTGCCTAATTCTACTAATTTCACTGAGGAATCAAAAATAAGGTTCTGAACTCAAAGTGCAGCAGTGAGCTAAAGCATTTGTTTTTGTTAAAAATAGCTCAAAAAAAGGAAATGTTTTTCCTCCTCCTGTTTTTACAGTAGCAGTTTGAGTATTCTTCAATCATTTTCTGGTTCCTTTGATTGACCAACGAACAAAACAACTCCAGAACATACAGGAAAATGAGAAATTAACATATAGAGAAGGAAATCTCATAAACATAATGCTTTATATAGCAAACCTATTTGTGTAGTCCAGGAAGCAAAAGCTTATCATCTGAACTTAAAGGTTAGAGCCAGACTTCTGGCACTTTGCTCAGGTTAAGTCCCCAGAAAAAAAAACCCAGGGAAATTACAACAAAAGCAAAGCCTTCTTCCTTTGTCACCTGGTTCCACCTATCTAGGCTTATCTCCTACAAAGGTTAAAAAGAAAAAAGAATCTTTTAAAGTTTTTTTTTTTAATATATATATTTTGAGAGCCATCCTCACAAACACCACTTGGTAGTATCTCAAAAGCAAAAGGAGTTCACTGCTGCCTTTTAGCCCCTGGCTTATAATAAAGGAAGATGAATGCAATAGCTCCCTTGCCATTTGAGTAGTCCCTGACTGCCACCAATCCTTCACAATAGCCATCGACTTCACACAGAAGTTTAGATAACCTAAAAGGCTTCAAATAAAGCAGAACTAAGCAACGGGGATTTTTTTTCTATCACAATAGTAGGTAAAGCCTGCCTTGAGAGAGTTCAACACCTTACAGCCCCGCTACCAATCACCTGCATGTGTTTCTCATGCTTTCTCGTTTAGGCAGCTAAATCTGAGGAAACACAACCTTTTGAGAGAGAGAGATAAACAAAGATGCCCTTCCCTCCTTGTAAGGACCATATTCCTTACAAAAGGACAGCTTTAAAAATATGATCACAAATTAGGCTTTTCTAATACCCATGCACACTTTAGTGCTTATCCCAGTTGTTAGAAAAATAAGCCTTCTGTGAAGTTAGTTCCAAGTGGATGAGGATGCGAGGTTTCAGCAAAAGTTACTTTCAACAGATACCTGGAATTGCAAACCCCTATGCTTTGGTGACAACCTTAAAAAGGTTCCCATTTGTTCTCACAGGTTAAGCAACTGTTGAGGGTGGGGTCATCAAGAGGTGTGGAGTTTTCAAAGCATTTCCAGATAGACCCAATAGAATAAAGAGTTTCAACCACACCTTTTTCCACTCCAAAAATTAAATTTCCTTTTCATCTTCCCTGCAATTAAAGAAATTTTACCTGAGACTTACACTGTCTCAAATAAAACTTTTCTGCTGCACAAAACTGTGGAAAAGACAGAGTTCTAATGAAGGCCACGCAGAAAGGTGGAGACAAGGGTGGACCATCAAAACCCACACTTAACTAAAGTTCAAAATGTAATATGTTACCATTCTGCATTTCAGCCAGCACCACGGACTAACCTGCAAATCACTTGCCCAGGTGTGAGCTAATGCAGTCTGGCATTCAGTTTAGAATGGGGTAGTGACTTATTTGCTTTTGAGATGCTCTCCTAAATGTTTACTTTAGGTCTAGAAACTGTTTTGAGAAGTTTCCATCCAGATTGTTGTATTTAGCTTATAATCCAAAGGAAATAGCACGAGACAGATTCAACTAAACACTAAACGATTCTGAAGCACTTTTGGCCAGATAGAACTGTGCTAATAGCCTCAGGCCAGTGATTCAAATGCAAAGAGGGAGCATTTAGAAATATTCTTGCCCATGCTTTTTTTGCTTCAGTTACAGGATCAACTTGTGCTAGGTTAGATTTCCTAAGAAAACCCTTCTTTCTTATGGCACAGCATACATGTACAGGTGATACCCCAAACCCGTAATGGATTGGAGAAACCAAAAACTGGTGAAAGATGCAGAACTCAAAAAGACCCTTTGAAATGACAGTGACAAACAAGAAGAGCACCTTGGTCAGCATTTTCAAGCTGCTGTACGAGCAGATGACCAACAGAGAAAATGGTAAATTTTAAATGATAGGCAAAGAAGCAATAAACTACCTAGTAGTCTCAAATTCTAACAACATCAGGATCAGACGTTTTAGCAGCAACAGAGAAGAGCCTGGGAAAGGAGCAGCTGCTGGCAGCTGATTCAAATCCAAGCTTCTTCAGAGCTTAGGGAAAAACAGGGAAGCCCTAGTTTCTTCAGTCAAGACTAGCAAGGTGGTGTTTGCTGCTGATTTATGCAATCTGTACAGTTTCTTGCCCTGCAGTCACAGTAGTGCATGTTACCAGAAATATCTCATGGGGATGTCTTTCCCTACTCCCAGGTGACAGAACAGGAACTACCTTACAAGAAACGCACCTTCACTAAAAAACAATTGCCATCAGTATCACCTCTACTTTAATTTCAGTCTTGGTTTCTTCATTCACTTTGCCTTTACACTTCACCCTCAGCATTACAAAGAACAGTGTCACCCAAGCAGGAAAAGTATTCATGAAAAGTGCAAGAGCAAAACTAACATTCCTGCAAATAGTCTTTATCAAGCCCTTTATCGAAAGTAGAATATATCATAAAGTAAATATATATGGCATGGCCTGCCAAAACGCCTTCAGCTGGTTTCAAGCTGAGCCAACTCACAACAGGTCAATGATGCAGAATTTACAGGCATAAAAGGACAAGTCTGCTGTTTTAACTTTGCATCAGTTTTAAGATTCTGCCTCTCATAAACGAAGATAACCTCCAAAATGTGAAAAGCGCATGAAAACCAAAAGCATATAGAGAGTTCCCTGCCTATGAAACGAGGAAAGCTTGGAACAATTGTTCAGAAGTCCCAGCTGTGCCTCATTCCTCTCAAACAACCAGAGAGAACAATAAATACTAATCACATAAACTGTTTTTACTGATAAGCAAAATACACAAAGAAAAAGAGGAAAGATCACATTGTGACTTTGCACAGCTACAAGGCAGCATCATCTGCAATACTGCAAATTGGAGCACAGAAAAAAAAAGATATTATAGTAATTTTTTTTGAGGAACCAAAACCACTAAAACAGAGCAGAGGCTAATAATACAAAACACATCACAAGTTCCTTCTTCCTAAAAAAAGCTGGAAATGAACTAAGCATTGGGTCAAGGAAATTATTTCCTGCCTACACTACATTTCAGGTACATGTTTAGGCAGATTCCACGGCCTTAAAAAAATCCCAATATGGACTCTACAAAAAAAAGCTTGAAAAATAGCATTGGAAACACCGCTTTTAAAGACTCTGTATTCCTGTCTTGAGTCTGGGACAGCAGTTTCTTTCTTCCAAAAGACTGTGGAAGGACCTGTGAGCATCAGAGAGAGCCAAGGACAAGCAATCTTAAAAAAAAAAACCACACACAAAAAACCCATCAAAACCCAGACAATAAAAAATAAAACAACACTAGCACCCTTTGAATATTCTTGAATGACAACTGTGTCTCAGACCTCAGCTGTGGACGGAGAAGTACAATCTTTTATCCTTTATTGCTACAGGTGAAATTTGGGGCCTACCAACGGTAAAAACTCCAAATTTTTAACTCTGGGACATTAGGGTAATCTGAGATGTACGAAATTTTCAGAATAAACAAGATAAGCATAAACTAATACGAAGATAACCACAAACTTAGAGCCAAGGGATGTCACACATGCAGTGGCTGCAGCTCAGAAGAAACGGGTAAGTAAACATGACAAGGTAATCTGGAGACACATCAGAGGAGTGGTGCAAAATAAGAAAACTGGATAGCAGGAACTACGGAGAAAACTTTTGCCTGAGCAGTGGCACTCGTGAAGAGGCAGAGAAGGAATAGCTGTGATTTTGGAAGAATCCATTTGCATTTGGACTTAGATGTAACTCGCCGTCCACGAATTTAGCTTTGCCCATTCCACTATTTTCCCCCTGCTCCAAAGACAGTGCCAAAGAACGCTTGGCTTCTACCGGTCCGATCTCCTCTGCGCGACCTGGGCAGGACGCGCTTTGCTCCGGCCCGCTTCACACCACCTGGGGCTCAGCTCCACCACCCAGCCCTTCCCCGGCCGAGCGGAGCTGCCGGACGTGTGGGCCCCGCGGGCGGACACCGGGGCCGGGAGCCTCCCGGGCCCCTCGCCCGCCCCGGAGCTGCTCCGCCGGCCGAAGGTCGCTCGCTGGAGGGACGCGAAAGTGAAAGCCTTTCCCTGTCAGGATAATAAAAAAAATTAAAAAAAAAAAAAAAAAAAAAAAAAAAAAAAAAAAAAAAAAAAAAAAAAAAAAAAGGAGGAAAAAAAGAAAAGGGAAGAGAGACGATGCGATAAGAAGCTGCTCGTTAAACCCACGCACTTTCCAAGGGAAAGAAGAGTATGAGGAGCAGAGCCCCCCCTCGCAGCGACCTCCGGGCGCAGGGGAGGCGCCTGGCCCCGTCTGCACTCGGGCTTGCCCCCAGGGCCGCGCCCGTGCCCGGGGTGGCCCCGCCGGCTTCCCAGGAGCCGCCGGCCGGGCCGGGCCAGGCCTGCGGGGCCTCCACCACGAGGCGGCCGCGGGACGCCCGGGCCCCGCTCCCGCCGCCGGCACCGCCCCCCGCGCCCCCCCGCGCGGGCCCCGGGCCGCGGCCCCGGGCCGGTCCCCACTCACTGAGCATCGCAGGCGGTTGGAGGCGGCGGGAGGGAGGCGGGGGCCGGCGCGGCCAGGAGGGCGCTGTCACTGCGCCCAGCGGCGCCGGGCGCTGCCGGCGGACGCGCCGCCGCTGCCGCCTGCCCTGCGGGCCGGTGCCGGTGGCGCGGCCGGTGCTGCCCGGGGCCCGGCGGGCGGCGGCGGCCGCTCCATGGCCCGGCTGACACACGCCGGGGCGGGCGGGAGCGGGGCCGGGGCCGCGCAGGCGCCCTCGGGCCGCCAATGGGCGCGGGCTCCCCCAGCGCCGCCTCCCGCTCGGCTGGCGCGGCTCGGCGGGACCGGGGGCGGCGGGACCGACTGGCCGGACCGGCAGGGCGCGGAGCGGTCCGCGAGGGCCCTGCGAGGGGAGGGGAAGGCGAGTGCGACCGGGGAGCTGGTGTGGGTGAGGTGGGCGCTGGGGAGCCGGGGCGGGCGGCGGGCTGGTGGCTGCGGGGGCGGCTGGGCCCCGAGCGGCGCCACGTGTGTGGGTGCGTGGGTGGGTGCCGGGGTGCGGGGCCGCCCCTGCCCGCCTTACCGCCTTCTCCCGGCTCCGCGTTTCTTCCAGTGGCGTGTCTGTCTGTCCGCCTGTCCCACGTGCCCCCGCCATGGCCGCGATCTACTCCGGGATTTACGGGAAGCTGAAAAGCTCCAAGACTTCTTGGGAGGACAAACTCAAGTTGGCCCGTTTCGCGTGGATTTCTCGTCAGTGCTTCCTACCTAATAAGGAGCAAGTGAGTACTTTTTTAATGGTAGACAGTGGAAGAAGAAAACCCCGATAGCGAATTGCTACTGGGGATGAATCTATTCATAAAACCCAGATCTAGCCTTTGACTATAGAAAGTAGTGCTAATATAGCTCTGATTTGCGATTGCGGGCAGCTCTTGATTTCTCTGTGGTTATATGAAATGTTTTTTATAACATCATCTTTCAAGTAGCCTCAGCAAAAAGACCTGCATTAGTGCAAGGTGAAAGAGGCTTTTGTATAGAGAGGGCGGTATGTGTGTTCTATCTCCTGGAGAGATGAGAAATCTTGTCTTCAGAGCCGTCATTGCCGTTAGGTATTATATCCAGTACAGGACACTACAAAGTTAGATGCTTCTGGTCATCGTTATAAGAACAAGAACTTCAGAGTGGGAGAACAGACTGTAGTTAAATGTGTGGTCTCAGGTGCTCTGAACTTTTGCGTGACCAAAGAGCACACAGTGGATCCTTGGGGTTCACCTTTTAAGGTGGTTTGGTGTTCTCTGCATGGAAGCCACCCTGTCCCCTTAAGCCTTTTGACTCTGTTTACCGAAGATCTGTGCAGTGTTTCCTCGAGTGAAGGGCTGTCTTGTCCTGCTCCTCCAGCCCTGGTAGTATTGTGGGGTCTAGGGTTTGCACTGTCTGAGACCTGCCTTTTGGGCTCTTGTTAAAATACTAAACCTAACCACATACTATCAATTTGTTTTTAAATCAATAATTTAAATTAGTAGGTTTCAACCTTTTCCAGTTCGCACACATCTAAATTCCTAGGCCTGAATTTCTAGGTGGTAAATTTAGACATATGAAGAGGAGGATGTGAACAGAATAGCAATTGTCAGGAAGTGAAAGCCATTTGATTCTCTAAGCTTTGATCGAAAAGACTGTATTTGTTAACTGGTACCACTTGTCAAAATTATGCCTTGATGAAAGGGCCTTAGGAAAGTTATTTTGGAGTGGTACAAGAGAGCACAGGAAAAGCTCTCAGGAATTGAAACCTACAGGGGTAGACTTCTCTGCTCGTTCAGAGCCTGTTCTGCTTGGAAATAGCACAGTTCTCAAGACACAAACGCTGTAACTGTGAAAAAGCACCACTTTTGTTTTCTTTTGAGGGGTTATTAAAGGTTACTTCCCTTCTGTTAACAGGTATTACTCGATTGGGTAAGCCATACATTGGTTTCAAATTACAACAAGAAACTGGAACTGGACGATGAAGTTGTTGAGAAACTCTGGACATACCTAGACAATGTTATCCATAGCAGAAGACTACAGGATCTCTTAAAGAGTGGGAAAACAATTGGTCTCAGTTTTTCAATTGCACAGGTAACTAAAACTGTGGATATTTGGTAATATACTGGGTAGCAGTGTGTATCTTCTATAGTACATGATTCTTCCTCACAATTTCAAGTGTTACTTAAAATATATAATAGTTAATCTGATGGCTTGCAGGACCTCTACTTAAAAGTTTCTCTATTTCTGTCCTGCAGTACAGTTTATATTAGTGCAGCACTAAGGCTAGAAATGGCAGGGTATCGTAATAATAATCTTCCCTTCTGTCTTAACTTCTTCAGACCAGCAGAGTGAACTGCTTTAAGTATTTAAATAGATAAGTAAAGGCTCAGTTCCATAAGTTGCTGTTCTCTATTACTTACTGCTTGTAATATCATTTTGCTTGGGAGTTTAGAGAGAGAGACAGATTTTCTCTCATTGTGGGGCTCATCATGTGTTTGGCTTTAGTACTTGTGCACTGTGATGTGTTGTTCAGCAGACCCTGCAGCTTCTTATGATGACTCTGAATGGTGATGGCCCCAAATCATTATGCATCTTAATCACATAATTATTTTAGCCTCAGCTGAAAGTGAATGGGGGTGACTTCAGTTAGAGTTTAGAACTGAACCAAACACTTACTTTTTTTTGGCTTTCTGGTTGAAGAAATAGCAGAATTAGAGAATGGCTGCAAAAGCAGTGAAAATAACTGGAAAATAACCCTTTTAGTTGTGATCAGGTTGAAATGAAGCCAGAGAAGATTGTCTTTACCTGAAGAAAGTGAATTGTGAAGTACAGAGAATTAGTTGGATGAAATCTGTGCTTCAGAGATGTTATGCAGAAAGTGTGCCAAATTTAAACATGAGTATGAAAACCTGGTTTCTGGTTGAAGATTAGATCAGAGGTACAGGACAGGGTTCCCTAAACACCAAGGACAGAGGTGTTAGAGGGTCCAGTGAAAAGAATTTATTGTTCTGTTCTTAGTCCAGCGGGGTTTCAGCTGAGGAGATGAATCATCCACAATAAAGTGTAAGGCAGCAGGTGAGTTTTTTAACTGTAATAGACTCAAATGTATAAATTGCTACTGAATTGGTTCACAGACAAGATTATCTAGAGGTGATAAAAGGGAGCAAATAAAAAGGGAATCAAAGGAGGAAACAGTAGGGAGGTCAACACAAAGTTTGAAAAAGGAAGAGAAATGCCAGTTTAAGAAAACATTATTTCTTTAGAACTGTGTATCCCTCAAAGAGAAAAGAGAACAGTTCTTTGCATTCCAGGTATCAGCACAGGAAACTCTCTCTTTTTAAAATATGAAGATGATATTTAGTCATGGACATTCTTACTGAATAAGCTACCTGGATCAGAGGGGGGACCTGTACTATGTGTGGGTTTGTTGTTGTTTGTTTGGAGCATAATTTTGGGAACCATACAAGAAGGCCAGAAATTTACCCTTACTCCATTTCTGCAGGATCAACATTATGCTGTTGCCAGTAGGACACACACCAAGTGAGGGCTTCCTCCCTCATCTGGTGCTGCAAATAAATACTGGGACAGCAGAGCTTCTGGTTTGGGACTTGTGATGTGAGAGGCCCAGGAGCAGCTGTTGGCAAGTCCCTCGTGCTTCTTTGTTGCAGCCAGAGCTCAAAGCAGGTGTTGTTGCTTTATAATGATATTTGTATGCAAAATTGACTGGTTTTTTTTTTTTTTTGTTTTGTTTTTGTCTCTTCTTCCCCAACTTCAGGTCATAAATGAAAGGTTATCAGAGGCCTGTTCTCAAAAAACACAGCAGAACATTGGCACAGTGCTGAACTGCTCCAGTGGCATCCTTTCTACTCCTTCACTCTCCATCATTTACACAGCAAAGTGTGAGCTTCTGGTTGATCTCCTCAGCAAGCTGTGCAAGCTGGCATGTCAGCACTTGGCTTCTGACAGCGCTGTGGGTTCTCAGTTGTTCAGCGTCCTCCAGCTTACCTTTGCTCAGTACCTCCTGATCCAGAGGCAGCAAACCAACCCAAATCGTGTGTTTGGGCAAGTGACAGGTCACTTGCTCCAGCCATGTCTGCTCCTAAGGCACTTGCTGACTGTGAGAGGTTGGACACAAGCAGATGATAACCATGTGCGTCAGCACCTGAGCAGGGAAATCCGAAACCAAATTGAAACTTTGCTGCAGGCTGGGTTGTTCCAGGCTGAGCTTTTCTCATCCTACAGAGAGGAGTTGCTGCCAGAACAGGAAGTCCAGGAGAAGAAGAAAGGATCTTTTAAAAGTCTTTTGCTACCAGTCAACACAGTGCAGACCAGTCTGGGCAGTGACTTTTGTGAACCTGCTCTCCATGGAGCGGTTGTGGCTGGTTCTGTGTCCCTGATATATAAGCTCTTTCTGGACTCGTACTGTAAGGCGGAAAACCACCTTGTGTGTTTCCACATGTTCAGCAGGCTTTTTGGCTGTCTCAGGCTCTCTGACCTACAACAGGGAGGGAGGGGAGATACGCTCTCCCCTGTGGACTGGAGCACAGAGCTGCTTGCTTTGGAGCAGCTTCTGAGCTTGGTGCTCAGCAGTGATATCTATAATGTCGCCAGTGACCGTATCCGGCACAAGGAGGTGCAGTTTGGGTTTTACCGCAAGCTGGCGCAGACGTTGCTGACGCACTCGCAAGCTTCCATCCCCGCTTGGTTCAGGTGTCTCAAACTCCTGATATCATTAAATCACCTTATAGTAGAGCCAGACCTGGATGACTTAGTGTCGTCGGCTTGGATTGATGCTGAGGCCTCTGAACCTCGTGTGAAGAAGCCACAGGAGACTCTGATCAACACCATGTTTCAGACTTACTCCAAGCTGCGACAGTTCCCACGGCTCTTTGAGGAGGTGCTGACAGTCATTTGCCGCCCAGCTGTTGATGAGCTGAGGCCACCCATCTTCTCTGCTGGCCTGACAGTAAAGCTTCGTGAGTGCCTCCTTGAACTTCCACCCAACCAGATTCTGGACATTCTGTGTCTCTTTGTGGAGAAATGCCAAACCCTTATCATTCCTGCAGTTGAAGGGTCAACTGACATGGCCTTGAAGCTGATGGCAGTGTGCTCGGTGCTGCATGCTTTTCTGTTCAACATGAGGAGCCTAGACGATGTCACTCCTTCCCCTGTGGTGCTTCGCACTCAAAGTCTGCTGGCAAAGATACAGAAGGGAATAATTCAGCCACTGATGGAGCTGCTGCAGGCTCCTAGAAGAGAGGAAGAGAAGTCAGACCTTTGGCTAAGAAAGGCCAGTGACGCTGCTCTCCTCCTCGTTTACACTTGGGTTGAGGTAGACACTCTGTTTGGTGTTAGCTGCAGTAAATATGTGTCTCCAACAGCTGAAATTGCCGGTGCTGTTACTGAACCTGCTCCAAAGCAGGGGTATTTCAGCATTTCAGCTTTTCTCCCTGCTTTGAGGGAACAGTCTTGGGAGAGAGTCATGGAAATTGCAAATAGTTTTGCCTCCCCTAGTAAATATTGCTTAGAACTTCTCATGCTTCAGAAAATGAAGATGATCTTAATGCAGACCGAAGCTGACCTACAGGCCTTGCAGCATGCTGCAGCTTTCATCCTGGAGTCTGGGAGATCCATCATGAGCAGAGGAGAATCTGAACCGTGGGATGGAGATATCAGCACGATAAGTGATCTCACTTACCCCACAGCACACTGGCACCTCATCATGTTCAACCTGAATATCCTATTGCCATATATTTCCTTAGAAGATACAGAGTATATTGCAAATGTGCTTCTAGAGACATTAATGCTTGCCAAAGCTCAGGAAGCTGCCATGGACCAGGAGAATTCCATCAGCACTGAAAAGATATCTCTTGGCTTGATGCACAGCTCCTTTCTTCCAGAAATGAAGATCCTGCACTGTGCTTTTCTGACCAGGCTTATTAATAAGTTTTCTATGGTGCTGCCCATTGCTACCAGGGATCTGGTAGATCTGCCACTTCAGCAGCTGTTTGCAAGTAATATCCCTTGGCATGAAGAAATCCTGGCTCCTTGCAAAACTGTTGACCTGCTGGAAGTACCATCAGAAAACAAACTGCTGAAGGATGAGCTCAGCTTGTCTTGGACAACCCTGGAGAAAGTTGCCCAAAGTATAGTATTGTTTGCAAAAAGTGGTTGCCCTGTCACCCTGAAAGAAAGTCAGCTAGAAAGCTGCCTGGGTTTGCTGGACATTTTTTCTCTTCTGAAACTAGACAGTTTTCTTCCCTCTGACTGTACTCGGTGTTTTCTGGTGCTGCTGTCCCTGCTAGCCAATACCAGGGCTAGTACCTCTTGCAGCAAATTGTTATTCCTGAAGTTTTTAAGTACTTGCCTCCACCTCCTGAGGTGCCTGCAAGCTGGCAGGAATGCCAACTCTGTTTTTAAGGTGTTACATGCCAGTGATGTTCTTGAGCATGTCATGGCCTCCCAGTTTACAGCGAGCAAATTGTTTTCTGATGTCTTTACTGTTCCTGTTTGGGCACAGTATCTCCAGGAAGTCCAAGCTTTTCTGGAAAACTTTCTTCAGATGATAATTGAAAGACGACAAAGTGTGAGGCTCAACTTGGAAAAGTTCATATCTTTCCTGGTAAGCTGCAAGCCAGACGCCAGTGCAGCCAAAAGCGAAGATCAGAAAAACTGGAATCCTGCAGCTGAGCAGTTGCTGCTCATGGCATTCACCACACTGTGTCAGGTTGTCACACTCTACCTTCAGCAGCTGCCAGAAAAGAGGCTGCATTCTGCAGATGTGCTGTCTGCTCTGCTGGAGCCCGTAGTTCTGCAGATGGTCAGAACTGTTCAACATGGTCTTCAGAGTAGCACCCCAAACAAGCTTTTGCCTGTAGCATTCATACCATCTGTCACTACTCTCCTCAAAGCAGATCTGAGCCATCCCGTCAGGAGGGGCTGGCAGAAGGAGCCCAATGGGTTTTTGGAGCAACCTCGTATTAAACTGTACCAAGAGTTTTACTCTCAGATACTGAGAGAACTGCCCTGTGCAGGAGATAATCTTCAGTTCCTTCAGCCTGCGTTGCAGTTCCTGACAGTCTTCTGCTCAGTGCCAGAGCTGTATCCTGGAAAAGAAATGGCAGTCATGGTTGGTTTTGCCATAAAAAAGCTTCTCTCTGGTATGAAAATTCTCTTTCTCCAGTTCCTTTGGTAGTTATGAGGCGCCGAGCCAAGTTAAAATCCATTTAGCAAAGCATACAACTCTTTGAAAAGTCTATGTTTGTTTACTTGTGCTAAAGCAGCAGGCTGTCCTTTGGTAAATGCATAACACGAAACTTTACAAGGAGGCAATGTTGTGGTACCTGGACCACAGCTACCATTTAATTTGGTCATGATCTTCTGAAAGATGTAAACATCTCAATAAAGCTCAGGTCCTGAGTAACTCATCCCTGTAGAGCATTCTGACAGTAACTGGAACATGATAACACTTCTGGATGTAGGGCTGAAGATGCAGTGTCCTACTCTTGTAGTCGGTGTAGTAGACACCACTGAAGTAGCTGATGTGCCCCAGGTCAGATCAGAAATGTCCTTGGAGGATCTTACAGTCAAATACTCATCTACTTCAGTAGGTGAGGCTATAGAACAGTGGAAGTTGCCTAACTGTTATGAATGCTGGATGCCCATAATTCTGATAAAGTTTGTGAGAGATTGGCCTTTATCCTCATTAATAAAGAGCAAGGGCTAGCAATTGAAATGAAGAATCTCTCCTGCTAGTTGTGGGAGCTAATGACTCCTTTAGAGTGTCTCTTTCAGAAAGAGAGCTGAACACAGCACAGGTGTAACTGTTCTCTTTGACTTCTTCAAACTGCTGGAATTTATCAGGCTTATCACTGACATGTTCTAGTGCAGTGGTCTCCAAACATTTTCGATTGTGCAAACCTAAAGACTGAGCATGCAGCCTCGATATATATTTACTTATAAATTATATACACATGCTACTCTACTAGTATGCTATGTACATTACAAAGCATACACACAGAAAAAAAGTATAAAAAGCATGAGACTAGGATGAAATAAACACTATTTTTAATGCTTTATTAAAGATACTTTATTTATAATTCCCACATCCTAGTGAGCTGTGTCGTACACACCCTGAGGGAGTGCTCCCTACTGGGGAGGCTACTGTTCAAGTGAACTACAGTAGTGATCTCAGTGTTTATATTGGCATTAAGTAGTCAAGAACAGAGCACAGCTTTCCATGGAATGGAGATGAGGATGTGTCAACTCTTGTAACTTTTCTGTTGATTTTCCTCTGTCTCATTCTGTGCCTCACATTATTAATTTAAGATTGGTAAAGTTCTTTAGCTTGGAGGCATAATGAATCACTGCAAAAAGCTGTAATAATTTCCGTTGAATAAGTAAAGTATTCAGTAAAATGAAATATTAATTCCTGTTGAAGAAGGTTTTTAGCATTGCCACAGATCCTGTGGATACTTGTGGAATTAAAAAACAAGCCTTCAAAATCAGTAGAATTATGAGCTAATCTAAGACTGTCTATGTAGTAGTAAGTGGGTAAGTGGGAAGTGTGAGTTTGGATCAGCAGAGACCTAACTTTGTCAGCTTAATGTTTTTGTGATTTGTGATGGATTTATGGCCACCACATAGTGAAGCCCTGTGGCTTGTTTAGCCTGCTCCCTTGGCTTGTGCATCTGCTTTAGTGTAGTATTTCTGTACTATTGAAGGCTTTTTTAATGGAATGATGGCTGCTCTCTGAACCTGAGGGTAGGAAATACTTGAGGACAGCAAGTCATTGAACTAGTGGGGAGAGAGGTAAAGTGGGGAGCCCTCTGTGAATTTGAGTGTTAAAAGGGTACCCATAGAGCTGTTTTATTTTCAATTTGCCATATTCTTACCTGTGGAGGTCTGTGTTGGGAATTGATTTCTTTTGTCTCTTGAATATGCAGGTCCTGCAATCACAACTCAGGTGATCCAAAGTATGGAGATGGAGCTGACAGAAGTGCTTGTCCAGCTGCTGGAAAACTGCTCTGCTGAGGAGTTTTATGCCATGATGAGGCTGGTGCTGCAGGGACTCGAATTGAGGAATGTTTGGCAACAGAAGGCTAAAGTAAGGCATGAACTATATTGTCAACTTCCTTCTTCAGTCTTCTGTACCTTGAAAAAAAATTGTTGGCTGAATTACATTTGATAAATATTTTTTTTCCTCTTCCTGCTTTATGTTCAGTGATCTTAATTTATATGGATAAGGGCTTGGTGACTGCTGAAATATGTTCTGGATATAAATTGAGGGAGATGGAAAGATCATGGAAACCTACTTGAAAATTTTTGTGTCCAGTTTAAGGACTCTGCAGTCTTAATTCCATGTATTGTCAACAGAAATCACACAGCTGTGATGTTACAGGCTGTACTAAAAGCTCTTTTCTAGTTTCTGCTCCAAGCTCTTGCACAACAGATACTAGCAGTCAGTGTCTGTCTGTGGGTTGTCTTAACAAGATTAAAGGCACTTTTAGAAACGCTGGCATTTTTAACTAAAACCAAAACTACCCCTAAGCTTTTGTTAGTTGTCTCTCTAAAGGCTACTCAATAATAATCAGATACCACTCAGTAGCTTTATAAACTCTCTACCTTTCTTCAGAGCACTTTAAGCAGCAGTGGTGACGTGTGGAACACGTTTGGCAAAAACTCCAGCTGTATGCGCCGTAGAAAGCTCAGTAACTTGGGAATGAAACCTGGATTATACTCGGGGCGTTATCTGGCTCTGTCTTACTTGTCAGAAAGAGACACAAATATGCCACTTCAGTTCTTTTTATGTCCTTTTGAAAGTATATCTGGAATTCCTGTACTGTGCATGTAATTCCTGCCACCTGAGTGTAGCTTGCGATATGTTTCATTTATCAGTCTGTATAAACCACCACCAAGTAAAAAAAGTCCTGCTGCCAAATGCAATTTTCTTAGTGTATAGTATACTGGTATCCCTGCATGCCTTCTGCCTCCCTCTGCTGTCTAGTAGTAGTTGTATGAGAAGGCTTTCCTTTCTTAAAAATCACATCAGCCTTTTTATACAGGAAGATAAGTCTGAAATAAACGTGCCGTGAAGTACATTTGGGCCAGTGCTGCTCAGCATATTGAATTTTGTTGAGCTGCTGCTTACTTCACAATTTCCAAAGAGGTGTACTGGTCGGAGGACTTTCATGTGTCAAGGCCCTGGTAGTGCTCAAAAGTGCCACTGGCCTTGAAAGGGCCCTTCTGTGCTTGAAAGGAGCCAGTGCACCCTAGTACCAGTGACTGATCCTCTGCTTTCTGCAGGAAGTGTTGTCAGCTGTTACCCTCACTAAATTGTTGCTCAGATGCCCATTAAGTGGAGACAAAGTGAAAGCTTTCTGGTTTACCAGCCCACAGATAATCACAGCTTTAGCGGTAAGTATTTCTTTATTGTAACTTAATTACCTATCCCTTTTACTCGTTAGAGTCTGTAGCGGTTGCATCTAAGGTGCACAGAGGCATACAGGAACAAAAACATTGTGGATACTGAACAAATCCATGCCTCGACCTTCCTCAAGTAAATCTCCTCCTTTAAGTGCAGTGTGTAGGTCACTGAGTTCTTATACAGAGTCATTTTATGGAACTGCACCATGTAATATGGAGCTTGGGAGAAACTTGTTTGACTGCAGAGTAGACAGTCTGAGTGTCTCGAACTTCTTCCTGTCCAAAGGAGAACGTAACTGTCAGCCACATGTTGCAGCAGAAGCCAGCAGCAGCAAAACAAAAAATAAAGAAGTGCTTGTATAAAAAAAAAAAAATCACTGAATTATGAAAGGGAAACTTGACAGAAAGTAATCAAACCCAGGCTTCCTGTCTTTCATTTGTACAGCACATAAACCTGGTGATGCAGGTTTTTCTCCTCTTCTGGTGATGATGTTTCTAGACCAGAATTTATCAGAGGTTGGCTCTGCAATGCTTGGGAATCACGAGCATGCAGTGTCTGCCCTTTTTTTGATAGGTCTGCATTCTTGTAAAGGAGTGACCTGCATTAGTGCATTTCTCTAAGGAGGTGCAAAGAGGTGCTAGTTGTCAGGGGACTAGGGAGTACTTAGAATTCCAGTTACACAGCAGTGCTGGTTTGAAGTGCATCACGTGCATCGTTGCCCAGGGTGCAATTGCACGAAAATGGCTCAGGTGCAGGAGTCTGCATGTCAGTCCAGCTTGCACCAGTCTAGTTCCTTTGGCTCCTGTCAGGGCATTACGGTTCTCTGGTGTTCGAACACTGATGATAGGTGGATAATGTTCTCCTCCTTACCTGTTTACTGTCTTCTTGTAGATGCAAACCAAAGAGGCCTGCCAGGACCAATCACTGATTTCCATCATAGTTGTACCTATTCTAGAGACTGTAGCAGCTCTGCTAAGGCAAGGAGAAGGAGTTCTTGTGAATCCACATCATGTGTCATTGGCATTCAGCATTCTCCTAACAGTCCCTCTGGATCATCTGAAGTTAGAAGACTATCGTGGTGTCTTCCTGGGAGTCCATGAAGTGCTCTTCTCTATTGTGCAGTGTCATCCAAAGGTATGTCTGTGAGGGGATGGGAGGAGAGGAAATAGGTATAAAGAACAAATGTAACAGTGTTAAGAATTTCTCTTTAATAGTTGTTTTGAAAGATTTTGTCCTGATAGTATAAAAGTGCATTGTACCACTTCTTATTTAAAAGGCTGAGAATCTCAGAATCACATAATTTCAGTCACTCTCCTACTTTGCTTGTGCCTGTGTTGTTGTTCTTTGGCAGTGCATTGCTTATCAGCATCTAATGATATATTAGAATAAAAGTTTTCGTTTTTCTGTGACTGGTTTCTAGAAGCACAAATGGCTCAAGCTCTGCGACCTCATTCTCACTGGAGGTCAAGATTCTGCAGTCCTCTGAAAACAGGGCTTAGACACTGTTGAAGTTGGTAACCTTCAAACGTTGTACCATCTTGGTATTCTTGTCAGCCTTCTGGCATGGGAAAGGGAAGATGTGCCAGGAGTTGCACAGGGATGAAGATACTCCTACATGGAATATGTAGGCAGAGATGGAAGAAAAAAAGGAAAGGGACCTCATGCATTTGTATTAGGACTGGGAGTGGGGAAAGTTAAAGATGGGCAAATGGCACATTCTAAAAGCAAAGCAGTATGCATTGCTAAAATGCCCTTACAAAACCGCTGTGGTGGAAAGCTGCCTATCCAGTGATCTGTAGTGTTACTGGACCTCATGTTCTGTCAATCTATCTGGCTATGCAGGTTCTCTACCAGCAAGGACAAATGCCCTAGACATTAGGGTGCTAAATCAAATGCTGCTTTAGAGAGATGAAGTAACTCTAATATGATGTTGCCATATATGTTTGATTATGGCTAGGAATGCGGTCCTACTTCTGGATTCTCGTGTGCTAAACACTCTATGGATGCAGAATGAAAATATAGTCTCTACCCTCTCACTCCCTTTAGTGTGTAATCTCAGATGTTTTTATTTCATGTCTTTTGCAGGTGCTGTTGAAAGCAGCACCATCTTTTCTGAGCAGTTTCCATCGTCTGGTTGTTTCTGTCATGCATGAAGGACGTCAGAAAGCAGACAGAGGTACCGTATTTTTTCCACCTTTATGATACATATATACACTGTAATTTATGTGTTGTGGACAGGGAGATGCTGAACAGGGCCCATCAGAATCAAAGTCCCCAAAGCCTAGCTGTGGCATTGAAGCTGTTAGCCCTGCCTGTCCTTTTTTTAAAATTGAGGATGAGCTTTGTGGTGTCATGGGCTTATGAAGGTAACTGGGGGCTCCTGTGGAACTGCACGAGGTGAATAAATGATTCTTCACTGACTGGCTGGCAAGTAGACAGGAACCAGTAAGGCTTGCTGTGCCCAGTTTTTGCTCTTCTGATCAACCCCTGTGCCTGAAAGCACGGTGGCTGTGAGCTCTGGTGATGCATGCTAATATGTGTTAGTTATAATCCCAAATCGATCCTAGTAAATGGAGTTTCTTAAGGCTGGAACTACTTTTACTACAGACCTGCATTGTCACCATTCTGTGCTAAGTATAAAGCCAGAACATTATTTGTATCTGAAGCATCAGTTGGGATTAGATGATATATCTGTATGGTTAAGGATTTGGAATTAGTGTAGTTAAATATCCCGAAAGGAAGACAAAAAAAAAAAAAAAAAAGACTTATTACTGAAAGTTATTAAAGAAGTAGCCAAGTCAAAGGTGTTCACAGTGATTGAGGTAATTATTCCGTGCTTTATACTGCTCAGGACACAAATACCCTACCATTAATAGTGGTGAGTTTTTGAAACAAATTGACTTCATGGCCTGAAACTGATTGTATCCTGGCTTTCCACTGATGTCCTGCAGCCTGTGCCATGTTCAGATTTATCTCAGCTGATATGTTGCCCACACCTGTGGGCAAATGTAAATGTATGTATTTGTCATGGAGGAGTATAGTAGCAAAGGCTCAGTGATAGAGGAAAAGGTAGGTGGTGCCAAACTTTGAGAATCTGCTTGCTTCTGCAATATGTTTGCATAAGGCAAGGGTCACAGGAAATTTACAGGTATTGTCAAGTTAAAAAACATGCAGGATTGTTCTGTTTTTGTAACAGATAACATGAAAGTAATTTCTGGATTTCCCTTCTCCCTTATATGTGTTGACTCTCTTCATTCACTGCCTACTGAGTAAATTCTCAGCTGATCTCACCAGTCTCACTTTAAATATCTCCAGTGGTGTGGCTTCTGCTGCTGTATGCCACATAATAGATCTCATCAGAAAGCTCTCTTAATATGCTCTTTCTAAGAGATGTCTTCTGATTTTTTTTTGTAGGTAGAGAATGTAATTTTCCTGTCTCCTTTTCTCTCCTCCACAGTGCTAATTGGGACTGAATCATGGAAGGGACCATAAGTGCTGCTTTTAGCACTTCAACACCTATAACAAATAATTTTTCTCTTGCAGTGCACGTAGACTTCAAATCAGTGTGCTCTTACAAAAATACCTTTTCGAAAGATGTGTATTGTGTATTGTGGGAGGCCTCTAGCTGTGGCTCCATAAGAAAAGAAGATAAAATGTCAAGCTATCCTTGGCCTCATGTAGTTCAAGAATCATGGAAGAGTGGGTGATTCTTTGGGGGTTTTTTTCTAATTTTTTTAAGCCTCAAATGCCTCTCACTTTCTGTTTTAGGCAACACAGATGAGTTTGAAGTTATACTGCAATGTGCACACTTGGTGGAACGGATGTATACTCACATTGCTGCAGAAATGGAGGACTTCACTGTGTTTTCTTCTTTCATGGTGGCTCAGTATGTGACTGAACTGCAGAAGGTATGTTCTCATCCATCTTGAAAGTGCCATAGGGTTGTGCTGGCTTTGGAGTTCCTGTTCCAAAGGCAACTGTGTTAAATTTTGTAAAATTTGTGAAGTTGCAAAAGTTGCTACGGCTCATGGAGATACAGGTTTGATCCAGACTGTTATTTTGAATGAGAGATCCTGAGAATCTTTCTTATCAAACTCCTGAAAACTTTCTAAAGATGTGGGCTGTGAGGTTTTTTTGAGGTTAAACAATGCAATGCCCAGTTATAGAACTGCTTTGGGTGTTGCTCTTTCCTCACAGAATCATGGAATGTCTTGGGTTGAAAGGTTGAAAGATGACCTTTAAAGGTCGTCTGGTCTAATCCTCCTACAATGAGCATGGGTATCTTCAACTAGATCAGGTTGCTCAGAGCCTTATCCCATTTGGCCTTCAATGTTTCCAGGGATGAGGTATCCACTACCTCTCTGGGCTGCCTGTTCCAGAGTTTAACCAGGGCTTCTTTATACATCTGGTAGTAAATTCATTTCCCAGTTAGTCTCATTTGTCCAGGACTAATAGCAGTTAGGGGCCCATCTGGCAAAGTAATGGTGGAAAATTCTCCTGGAAAATATCTTTTAATCTGATCTAAATGATTAAGTGAATGGAAAAAATGTTACCAAGCCAAGAATTGTTAGCTTTTCAGTAATTCTCCTTATGTACCAAAGATATCACTGCAATTCTTACTGAAAGCAATTAAGCATCCCTGCTACTGTGTATGCCAGAGCCAGGTCAGTAGTTTCTCACAACCAGACCTAAGTTCAGCTTGTAATTTTCTTCAGCCTGATGGATTTAGATTTCACGAGGGTTTGACTGCTGCTTGTGGTACAAGTACCTGCAAATTGATTATTTGTGGCTTCAGCCTGGGCGTGGGCTGAAATACAGAAAGAAAGATTAGTTTTTGTTTTTAGGCCCTCTTGCAAAAAATGTATTCCAACTGATGCTATGTTTCTGAAGGATTATGGTGTAAGCAGTGTAACTAATAACTAACCATAAAGGTTATTACAGACGTTAAACTTGTTTGCCTTTTTTATTGCTTATCTTTTTTCCAAGGTTTGGGAGCAAAACAATTGGAGATGTCAGTTTTTAGCTATGTTATTTAGTGTTCCTGATAAGTTGGTTATTGTTTATGTAGTGAACGTGGTAGTTTAGCAAAGGGGGAAATTGCTGTTAAGACTACTTCTGCTCTCTTTAACCGTCTCTGAACTATGTAATCTGTTCATCGCTGAGTGTACGTCAAATGACCTTTCTAAGTTGAAAGGACACTTGCCTCAATATTAGCAGGAGTACAAAGTCTCATGAGAGTTCTAGGAGAGTTCTGTGCAATATTTTTGGTGGGAAATGGAAAGTGATGGATGATAGGTGAAACCACAGATCAGTAATGTATGCACTGGAACCTTTGGGCGTGGAAAGGGGAATTGGTGTAGTGAGCCGCCAGAGGCTGTGACAAAGGAATGTTTTCTGTCTGACAGAGTAGATAGATCACAAGTAGGTGATGATTTATTTGCTCATTAGACTGCTGAGAATTGATGGGTATCAGAGGAAGGAGGAAACCTCAGCATGCCTGTCTTAAGTGGGGCATGTACACATCTTTCATGTTGCTCTGCAGAGGGAGAGAAAAACTCCTTCAGCTATTCATCCCTTCTGAGACCGGATCTGTGGCTTTCTGCCTGTGATCTGAAGACCCTGGGGGGGTCCATCAGAGGTGACTGAGAAAACAAGTTTGTAGATTTAAGTCTCTATATGGGCATCTTCACACTTACTGGAACCCTTTTAAGGGTCTGCAAACTAGAACTGGTGAAAGCTACTGGCCTAAATAGTCACTTACTCCTGAAGTGGTTGTGTAATGGCTCCCTCAGTGCTTCCTCTTTATACCATGAAGTATTTTGTATTAATCTAGAAAGATTCCTTGCTGGAGTGGGTGGCATCTCTTCCATACTGTTGACAGTGCTTTTCGCTTGCTGCCTATGAGCTGTTGCTTAATTCAGCAATAGTGAAATACCTCTTCACACATTTAATGTCTCTCATCAAGAGCTCTGTAATGCTTGAAAAATTGGTTGTGCTAACTGTATAGACCATAAACCTCTTACAAGTATAATTAACTGCCAGCCAGTAGTGGCAGCTGTTTAAATCTTTAGCTCTGCTTCCCGTGGTGTTATTGGTGTTTATAGGAAACTGCAAAGTGAGAATGGCTCAAATAAGGCATGGATCCAGATGAATTTGTGATCTGAGGGATGCAGCTCCATTAACTGCAGCTCTGAGGTAGCTGCTTATCCCAAGTGGGCCATCTGGTCCATATTGTCAATGGCTGTGGGTTTTCCTGTCCTTTTTCTCTGCAATCGTTTCAATGCCCTGGGAAGGGAGAGCCCAGCCTAGTGCATTCACTGTGAGCTGTGATGCTCAACTATTCTCTTACTTTAATGCATGGTGTAGGGAGAAATAACATCTGTTATAAACCAACCAATTGATCAACTGACAGAGAGGCAAAAAAAATTACAACCTTTTGGATTGCAAACTCTTCAGGGTCACAGATCCAAAGAAAGGCCTATATGCCTTATTGCCTGCTCTGTGTTTTTCCCAGCTATGTTAGTGGGTCTAATAAAATATATTAGCTGTTCCGCATTTAGGGCAGAAAGAGAGCAGGAGCCTGTCACAGTGATTAGGAGTGCACTTCATTAGCAGAAAGTTTATTAGTTGCCTAAGGAAGAAAGAACCCTGAATTTTAATGACAGCTTTTTATGTAATTTTCATTAGGCCTGGAGTGAAGAGGCTTACATCTGGAGGCATAAAGCTAATTTTGGGATTCAGCAAAGATAAGACATGGTTCTGCAGCAAAAATAATGTGATTATGCCAGAGGCCAGCACTGTCTCAGGCAGTGAAGTATTTAGGAAGTGATTTGTGAGCACAGGACAAATTTCAATTAGCCTGGAGCACCAGAGGACTCCAGAGTCAGCACTGATGTTCCGGGTTGTAGTGGCAGTTCTGCTGGTTGTGGGATTGAGCAGTGGTAACATCGGGAGCAGGGCACGAAGTCTTGAGTCATTTTTTGTATCCCTTCAACTTTCTACATGACTTCAGACAAGGTGCCTGATTCTCAGTGTTAAAATGGATTAAGAAAATGTTCATCTTCTGAGCTTTTTGAAGGCTTCTTTCATTAAGGCTTGTACATTGAAGTCTTCAGATAAAAATTGTTAGATAAGTATGAAATTATTAAGTGACAAGGTAAAATTGTTTTACTTGTCTGTTCTCGTAGATTTTATTGCAGGGACTGTACTGTTCTGCAAAATATGTTTGCAAAAATCAGGAAAATACTGCACAAGTCAAAATCTTGGGTTTTATCTAAGGGGATGTTCCAGATGGTCTGATGCACTGGATAAATTGTTGCCAGCATTTAGTATATACTGACTGTGGAAGTGGTGTTTTCTTGCCTTTTTTGTCTTCAAGTTTAATGCAATTTGTTCTTCTTGTAGGTGACTTTGCACCCAGCTGTGAAGACACATCTCACAGAAGGAATATATCACATCCTTGACCTTTGCATTGAACGGGACGTCAAGTTCTTAAATGCATCATTACCAGCAGGTGTAAGGGAGGTCTTTAAGGATCTGTATAGTGATTACAACCACTACCACAAAGCAAAAAAGCAGGGGGAGGAAAAGTACACTGCATGATGAATCCTGTCTGGTGCTGTGTTGAATGAATTGACCTTGCAGCACTCAGAACATCCTCAGCTGCTGTTGGGTTTGGGATGACTAGTAAGATCGAATCTGAAGAGGGTCATAAACATTGCCTTTATACAACCAGCCTTCTTAATGAGGAAGTGGTTACGGTTACGGGGAGGGAGGATGTGCTGTTTGGTGTGGTCCTGCTCTGTGCCACAAGTGGCAGAACTGCTGTGCCTGTGCTGGCCCCTGATGATCCATGGGAGCGCTGGGGAGCTCACTGCTCCTTGGCAGCAGATGGCAGGCTTCAGCCTTTGTCACATCACGGTGGAAGCAGTAGGCTGGTGTAAAAGCCAGTGAGGGATATAACCCTGCTTTCACTTACACGGTAAGCAGAATTAAAGCAGGTAAAGTGCTTATTTTTGTACCCTGTTATTTCACATTTTGTTACTGAAGAAATCTGTTACACAGCTGTGCAGTAGGTTACTGTGCAAAACTGTGGAAATAACAGTAAAAAAATATGAAAGTTTGTATCTCTTCGCATCATTGGTTTTACTTTCGAGCTCAGCCCCAGGCAACCTGATCTGACCTATTGAACTTCCTTCCCAAATGTATTATCCTGTAATCTCATGATAATCAAAAAGGCTGACTACTTAGAGGTCTGGTCGATTTACTGTCATTAAGCAATTACACTTAGTCATCTGAGCTGTAATCTCTGTGAATGTACATTTTTAGTTTGTGACAAATGCTAATTACTGCTGTTACTATCTGAGACCTTTTTGGTCTAAACTGAGCTTTGTTGCTTGGCTTTCACTCTAGGTTAAGAACAAGCCCTAGACTTATTGCAGCTCAGCTGACAGTGATTTAATAAGATGTAGTAAACTAATCTCATTTGAACCTGTAAGAAGCTTTATCAAATAGCTCCCTTTCATTAGGCAAACTACAGAAATTTATTTGCTTGAAAATGATAGAGACTAAAGATCTAAATTTCTGTGTCAGTAGTAGAAGTCTTCATACATACATGGAGTTAGTAGAAAGAGCTCAGTATACTCTCACATGATTATCTGCTTTAATCTATAGGTAGGGGTGGGCAGGGGAATACTGGAATATGGCTTACCACTTTTACTGGGTCCATCTGCCTCATGGCAAGGTCCAAAGGATGAAGTTTGTCTGGGACAGGAAATTCCACGTGGCCCAGATGAGGGAGGTGAGGAGAGATGGCTAAACTTCATCCTTGGAACTGAAGTTGACCCTCCTCATCCTAAAAAAAGCATCTTTGAGAGCTTTGATACTGTGCAAGCGCTGCTCCCAAGTAGTAATAGCGGTATGTTATCAACACTGTTCTAGCCACAAATGCAAACCCCAGCACCTTATGGGCTACCACAAAGCAAGTTAACTACATCCAAGCTGGACCCTGTGCACCACGGTGCCACTTCTGTATTTTATTTCAGAGCTGAAAAGCTGATGTGGGCCAATGATGGGAAGGGCAGTTACCGCTGCCCCAGCAGGCAGTGGGACAGCTGGGGTCAGCCAAATGAGCACCAAAGTGGGGAGTTCTGCAGGGTGAAGACAGTTCATACATCAGTTAAATGAAGGAAGGTTATGAACCCTGGGGGGGGATATGAAAAGAACAGTAAGAACAGTGAAAAAATGAGAGCTAGGTTTGGAGCGGGGGAGGAAGGAAGTGAGGTAGCATCTCTGGTGTGTGTCAAGGCTCCCCTGATGTAGCCATATGGTTGCAAGCCACACACATAGCTCAAAAGCTTCTGAGTGCAAACCCCAGAGTAAATAACATCTTAGCCATCGCTTTAAAGGAGGTAAACTAGCTGGGTTGAGATCAGTTTTATTTCATTAATGCTAATTTTTTAAATGTTACCAATTTTTAATTCTTGGTTTGGAAATGAAAACTTGTAACTGACTTACATGGGCAGGGCTGATGGAAATAACAAACTCCTACTATAAAAAGGATACAGAGCTTGAATGAATGAAAACTTGAAACCCTGTCACAGTTAAACCTTTATTTCAAACGTGCAGTGTGACTGCCACTTATCCCACAGCCCTCCGCCTTCTCCAGGCAAAGCAGCAGAGTTCTGAAGCACAAAGCAGTGTTTCTGTGTAGAGTGACAAAGGGGTTAAAAAGAAGGCTGTATTTCACTTGCTAATCCCAGGTCTTTGTCCAAGAACTGCTCTGGAGGTTTTTTTAGCACGAATAAATTAAGTCACTGGCAGAGGACCACCTGCTGAGAAAGGCGGCTTTGTGTTTCTGAGTGCACTCCCAGTGAGTGTAGTGCTCCTGTGCTGTCACACGATGGGGCCATCCTGCAAGGGTACAAAGCGCCATCCGAAATCAGTTTTGGAGCCCTTCCTCATATGCTGGGTTAGTCTATGAGCTTTGAACATCAGGAAGGTAAAGGGTTTGGAAGAAGCAGTGTCTCAGGGATAAAGGACAGGATTGTGACCTTTGTTTAATTTGAGGGTTAGCTTTGTGTAAGTGAACCTAAAAGCCTTACAGGCTTCTGCAACAGTTATTCTGGGCCAGATTACCATCTGTTGATGCAGCGCCTGTCTTGTGAGGGCTTTTCTTGCTGTTGCAGGAACAGAAGTGCCTCCTGTAGGCAGAGCTCACAGGCTGGGATATCAGGGTCCTGCTGGCTGTGCCGCTGGCTCAGCCTGTGACGCTGTGTGTGGTGTTTGTTACTCGTGCATGGGCAGTGCCCGAGTCTGCTGTGCCAAAACTAGCTCAAATATCTGGTAAGAAACAGGAAGGGCAAGAAGGACAGTCAAGACCAAAAAAGATCGCTCTGGGTTTACTCCTTATTTTGTGTAACTGCTGTAAAAAACAGCCAATTTTTCTACTTACCTGGGGCTTGATGCTTGGATTTATCTTGTTGTGGATAGAAATGTCAAAAAAGATGATGGTGTAATATGGTAGAAATCGTTTTGCTAGTTTAGAAAGTTATTCTTCCTGTTTATACCTGCTGGGAGGAGACAATGTACCAAGTACTTTCCTTTGAGTTTGAAATGGATCAGTAAGTTCCTGTTTGTTTACTTCTTGGTGCAGCTCTGGAGCTTCTGGATAAGGGAGGGCTCCTTCCAAAGCTTCCTTTATGGGTTAAAACATAATAATAGGGATAATGGAGTACTTTGAGAGATTTCTTTACCATTATTTGCTGTTCCATTAAATGTCTACAGTGATAATATTTTGCTGATAATACCAAACTGAGCGGGGAAGTGAACACTTGCCAACCTGCAAGGAGACGTGGATAGACTGGAAGAGTGGGCTAAGAAAAACCTTGTGAAGTTCAGCAAGGACAAGCATAAGATCTTGCACCTGGGAAAACGTAATCCAGGAGTGCAGCACAGGCTGGGATGTGCCCGTCTGGGGCGCAGCTCTGTGGAAAGGGACCTGGGGGTTGCAGTGAACAACAAGCTCAGTGTGAGTGAACAGAAGTGCTGCTACGGCAAAGAAAACCAGTGAGATGCACAATCCCATCAAGGGCGTCACTAGCAGAGATGCAGAAGTGATTATCCCACTCTGCTCAGTGCTTCTCAGGCCACACCTGGAATAATGTGTGCAGTTTTGGTCCCTGCTGTGCAAAAAAGATGTGGACAGGCTGGAAAGGGTCCAGGGAAGGGCCACAAACATGATCAAAGGACTGGGAAGCTTTCCATGGGAGGAAAGGCTGAGAGAACTGGGTTTGCTCAGCCTTGAGAAAAGAAGCTTTGGGGGGAGACCTTATCACTGTGTTCCTATATTTAAAGGTTGGCTACAAAGAAGACGAAAACTCCCTTTTTACAAGGATTCACATAGAAAAGACAAAGGGTAATGGTAGAAGTTACTCTTGGGGACATTCTGATGGGACACGAGGAAAATTTTTCACAGTGAGAACAATTGGCCATTGGAGTATTCTCCCCAGGGAAGTGATGGATTTGTCAACATTAGACAATTTTTTAATTTGTTTTTTTTTTTTTTTCAGCAAAATGACTGAGTTTTTTTTGATGAGAAACATACAAAAGTGCTATTGTATCATTGCTGGCAGTGCTGACATTTGCTGCTGAATGATCAGTGACGTATCCTGCAAGTGGTTAAAAAAGGAAGATGCTCTTTTTTTCTTTTTGTACCTATCGTGTAATATTTATGTCACAAGCAAGTGGAAGTGAAACCTGACTTCCTGTGGAGCAGTACTGATTTGTAGTCACATATGTTGTTTTGTTTTTTTAAATATGAAAGCAGGTTTTTCGTTCTTTAATTGACTTTGAAGTTGGGAAAATTTGTGAAAGAAAGTGTGTCCTTGTGACCTTCTCAAAGGTTTTAGTCTGGGACAGCCCTCTAGCAAACTCATTGCCTGGTCTTTGAGAGAATTTGGGAAGAATGAATAAATGCACCCCAAGTGCCTAAGCTGTATTGTTAACCTTTCCTTCCAAAGAAGGATGCTGACATTTCATACCTATTTCTGAAGATGGTGACAAACAAAAATGACGAAATCCATTTTGTCTTTTTAGCCATCTTTTAATGCAAGCATAGAGTGACGAGAGGTACAGGACTGCAATGACTTTCCACTGGTGGCTGCTTGGTCCTTTCTAGGTGTAGAGTTGTTTATGTCAGGAGAGCGTTATTTTGACATGTGGTTCTGAGACTTCTCTCTTAGGATTGATGCAGACCAATGTCTGCCCCAAAGGAATTGTCATTATTTTGGTTACTTTTTGTAGATGTTGGATTCAGAATTGCTTCTTGAAAGAAGTTGCCCAGATGATCTGCTCTGAGCTAGACATCTTCTTGTGGAGGCTGCTGCAGAGCCTGGGCCCTCTTTTTGCAGCTGGGAAGTCATTGTAATGCCTTTTTGGTTCTTCCTCACAACAAGAGGACAGGAATATTTCTGCTGACAGGTGGCAGAGAAGATTTGGAAAGCAAGTAAAGAATAAAAGGAGAGGAAAAACTAGGGACAGATTCCCTGTTAATTCATCCATCTGAATCTGCTGCTAGGTTCAGGAATCCCTTCTTTTATTTTTACAGCCTCCACTTGAGGGATTGACTCTCCAGGCTTTTACAGAGCTGTGCTGGGGCTGCTCAGGAGAGTGCACAAAACTGACACATTGCTGTCCTAAGGACAATGACCATGGACTGCTTCTGCTGTAGGAAGGGAGAGAAGAAAAAGAGGAGGAATGGAGGTCTGGGATGCAGCCAGACTATTGCCAGGGCTCCTTGCTAATGAGATGACTTTGTTAATTATTTGATTTGGGGTATCAGCAGCTTACTAGACAGAAGTTCCTGGTAGCTGAAAGCAGAGCAGTTTTGAAAACCAGGCCGTCCCTGATTTCCAGTGCATCTTAAACACACATTGCTTTATCTGATGTGCTACAAGCACCTAGAAACCTCTCTGGGCAATGGGCCACCATGTGTGCAGCAGAGTGAACTGTGAGCAGGCACTCGCTGTCCTAACACACTGCCAGGTGTGAGAGACAGTGGGTGGGAGAAGAAACAACATTGTAGGAAGAAGTGATTGATTTGTGTTTAGTTTTAGAGCAGGACGTG